CGCCGGACAATTCGTTCTCCGACAAATCAAGGAAGCTAAGAACCGGAATTCGAGAGAGAGTGACCGGAATTTCGCCGGTCAGCCGGTTGTGGCTTAAATCTAAACTCACAAGCTTCTTACACGAAGACATCCCATCTGGAATTCCACCGGAAAATTTATTGTTGCTCAAATTTAGTTGCATTAGCTCTGGTAATCTCCCGAAACTCTCCGCGATAGCGCCCGAAAATTCATTCGCCGAGAAATCCAAACTCTCGATCTTATCACTCCCGATAAATTCCGGCAAATTCCCTGATATTTTATTCCTCGCCAAACTCATCATTTGGAGAGACGGCACATCCCATCTCTGGTCGTCGATTCTGCCGGAGAAATTGTTGCCAGAGATATCCAAAAAGTAAAGTAGGGGTAGTTTCGTAAATTCTGGAGACAACTCGCCAGAGAGGCGGTTATTTTGGAGCCGAACTCGGCGCAAAGTCTTGCAAGAACTGAGACTCTGTGGAATTTGGCCGATGAGAGAATTCGAGAAGAGGATGAGTTTAAATAGGCGTTTGGAATCACAGAGGCCATCGGGAATTTTCCCGGTCAGATAATTACTCGAAAAATCAACTACAGTGAGATTGCTTCGCTTTCCAAGTAATTCCGGAATCTCGCCGCGAAATCGATTGGACCATAATTGAAGAATCTGTAGCCGAGGCAGAGAGGCAATCGCTCTCGGAATTCTTCCCGTGAAATTGTTCCCAAACAGATGCAGAATTTCCAACCTCTGCAGATGAATTACGAGTTCCGGAATCTCCCCCGACAGAGAATTGTCGCTTAAATCTAGAGAAATCAGATTCACGAGACGGAAAATCGAAGGGGGAATCGTACCTGTGAGATCGTTTTGGTAGAGGAACAGGTACTGAAGTTGAGTGAGATTTCCCACGGATTCTGGAATTTTCCCTGTGAGCTTGTTGTATACCAAATCAAGATGATTCAGAGAACCCAATTGGCCAATTTCTTCAGGGATTTCCCCTGAAAGATTATTGTAACCCAAATAAATCCACTTCAGCCTCTTCATTCCTCCCAATTCCCTCGGAATTTCTCCCACCAATTTATTAGACGCCAACGTCAAAAATTCCAACGACGTGAGAGTCCTTATCGAATTGGGAATTTTGCCCACTAAAACATTCCCTCCGATGTCAAGAAATTTGAGGCTAGAAAACCATCCAATACTCTCCGGAATCCCACCTGTCAAAAAATAAGAATAAAAGATTAAATTCATGGTAATTGAATTTAATTTAATTAAATTTTTGTGATCGATTTTAACAGCATACCCGTGATCATGTTGTTGGATAAATCCAGTGTTGTAAGTCCGGAGATGACACCGCTGGGAATCGGGCCGCTCAAATTATTGTTGCTCAAATTCAAATGCAGTAGCGAAGGGGAGGCGGCCGTGAACATATTCGGAGGGAATTGACCGACGAATTGGTTGTCGGAGAGGTCGAGAATTTGGATGTGGGGCAAGCGTAAAACGGAATCGGGAATGGCGCCGGTGAGATTCTTGCCGGAGAGGTGAATGGCAGTGATAGTGGCCGAAACGGCGTCGGTTTTGTTGGTGCATGTGATTCCGTTCCATTGGCAGATGTGAAGAGAGGGAAGCCAATTGGAGAGAGCGCGTGATGGGTCGTTGGAAATGGAGGATTTGAAGGATAAAAGAAGGCGAGTTTGATGCAGAGCGGATGAATGATTCGCCAGAAAGAGGAAGAAGACGCAGAAGAAGATGGGATGATGACAGCTTTTGGGCCTTCTCTTCCCCATGAGTGATCAGCTCTAGTTTCCACTGATTCAGCTTTCAGTTTAAAGTTTTGCTCATCTTTCCAGGCCCTGCAATTACCCATATATAACAACCAAGTAATTTTAATTTTTTCTTTTTCCAACAAAAAAAAAAAAGAAAGAAAAGAAAAGGTTATAGTATTGGCAAAAGTACACTTCTATCTGATGCCAACAAAGTCCTATATTATTATCTCTATTTTTATGTTCAAAATCGAAAATATTATAATATTGTGGAGATACTTTGATGTATCGTTGTCATTAACAAGACTTTTTATTCTCTCCCATAATAGTTTAGTGATTAAGACATTTTTTTTTCTACGCACTAATTAATTGAAATTTCTACCAACTTTTTAACCATTAGATAATAAGGACTAAAGGCATAAGTAACAAAGAAGAAGAAAGTCAATTGCTTCCTCATAATTTATTAATTCAAAAAGTATATATAAAATATTTTAAATTTTCTTAGTTTTTCTTCTAATTTTCCCCAATGGAATGATGAAATATAAGAAATTGTTGGCTCTGCCTTGCCGCTGGTAGAAAAGTTAGTATGTAGGTAAGTATTTATTACCCGTGGTAATCCTAAACATTTTTTAATATGGATTTAATTGGTGGGTTAATTTGTTTTAAACGAAACGATCTATATTTTGTAAATGGTGTCATGGATATTATAATAATAAGGCAGCTGGTTTCGAAAATGTAAATTGATAAATGGTAAAGATAAAACTTGGGGTTAATATAATGAAGGGATTAAGGCAAAGTTAAGAAAGGTAAAGTTTGGATTAGGATGTTGCATAATAATCCATGAAAGGCAAAAGGAAAATACTTGTAAATAACTAGTTTGTAAAAAAAGAAAGAAAGAAAGAAAAACAGCTCCATGGATGATCACCTTGGGCAGCCATGGCAGGAGAGAAGGAAACAGTCATGAAACGGTCGTAGAAATCAAGCTTCTTCTACACCCTGCATCGCATTATTACAGTCAAACTACAACAAAATCTTAGCAAAGTGCGAAAAGTGATTAAGATTTTGTTGGCATAATAACAATAATAATAATAATAATGTTTCTAAAAATTAAATTTGCCCCAAATATCATAATTGAAGCTTTACGGCTAAAGAAAGATCGCCGTTTGTTTGTTTCTTTTTTTTTTTCCTCTTTTCTTTCGAAGGCATGGCAATTGAACTAGGGTGAGAGAATGACTGTATATATAGAAGAATTCGTAGGGTTCAGAGAAAAGAAGACGAGAGCGGTTCATAGGGCTTAAAGGTGGAATTACGAAAAAGGGCCTGGAGAAATGGAGTTTGAAAACACCAATGGCTGAAAGGGAAACAGGGACAGGTGTTGGAAAAAAGCTCTGATTTTGTCGGCCTAATTACCAATCTCTCTTTTGACTGCGGGGTCCCGACGAGGGCTTCTCTGTAACCCTTGAAATTCTTCTGCCCCTCATGGTCCACTTATTTACAGATTAGGGACTTGCTCAGTTCATGCATTAGCACTAAAAGATGATTAATTAATCCAACAGAAGGGAAATTAAAGATGGGACTTTTACAGAGAATATTGTACGCCATGGCAGCAGCAGCAGGTGAGAAAATACAAGAGATGGGTAAGAAATGAAAATTTCTGGGAGAGAGAAAAAAGAGAGAAAAATAAAAGAAAAAGTTGGTTGTCTTTTACATATAGTAGCATAGAGTGGAGATAACACAGTAATGCAATGGCAATTGGCAGTGCTCGTGCGCCATTTTGCTTTGAAGAATGGGGCCTTTTCTCGAAGGAATATACAGTGAATGGTCTTTGTCATTCCCAGCATGCTTTCCTCATCTCCATTTTCTAGGGTTTTACACTCGCCCACTCGAAAATATATATTCAATTTTATGTGCCCCCACCAAAGTTTTCCACTTTCCCTTCAACGATAACTAAAGTTGTTTAATTTATATGTTGAGTGCAATTCGTGATCCCCACTACCATATCTTCTTTCCCTTGAATAATGCAAATAGTGCACCTTTTTAGTTTACATTTATGTATGTGTGCCTATATTTCTTCCAACCAATCAACAATTAAGGGTCTCATCCATCACTTATATATCTACCAAATTAACTCTTAAGGGGTTTCAGTTCATAATTCTCGATATTCGATCGAGTAAACAACCTAAATTACCTACCGATTGTTACTTTTTCGTTTTATTCCTAACACGCATAATAAAGATGAAGGTTTTACTCATATTTTCGTTTAGTTATAAAAAATTGATCATCTTTTGTCAAAGGGATTCCACATCAAAAATATCAAATAAGGACCTTTAATAAGGTTTGGCTACTCTCATTGTCATTTAATTTTTTATATGGAATCTTATAAATATTTTTGTTTGGGAAGGAAATCATTTCATTCACATGGTAGGTGAGAAACATACGTACAAAAGGGAGGCTAAACAAAAGAGATGAGACTTTGAAGACCCTGAAGATGCTTATAAGATCTTAATATCTTCCCATAGATGAAGATAAGACCTAGAAAAATCAAAGAAAGTATGATGCTTCAAAGAATAGATCTTCGGTTGCCGTTCGAGTGATATAAGGATTCCTTCCAAAAGGATTCAATGCAACAAGAGATAGAATTGAAAAATATCAAAAAGCAGAGTCCAAAGTAAAAAAAAAAAAAAAAGATGATTCAGAGATTCCTGGGAGCTTGACATAATACACACTAATTTGGATTGCAACAAAGAAAAATGATATCTCTGATGTAATTTGTCATGTATATTGTGTCCTCGATGGAAATCGTACCAAATAAAGATTGGTGTGTATTATATTAGAGCCCAACAAACTCAAACAAACATTGATTTTGAGATAGAATTCGTGAATATTACCGCTCTTAATTTATATCAATGTATAGCTAAAAGTTTGTGGAATTAGATTATACGTATAATAGTTAGGTCAAAGAATATATCTATACCCAATTGTACCAAACAAAAGGGACGTCTTTCTACTTTTCAAAAAAAAAAAAAAAGGGTTTATCTTTTTACAAATTCATGTTGAAATTCCTTTCACATCCGTCTTTTATGACTATTTAGCACATTTAATATATTATTTAATTTAACAACTAGGATATGGCTAGAAACAAATGAGTATATATAATATACAGTGTGCGAAAAATTTTCCACATGCATATGATTAATATATTACTTTATTTTACGAATTAAGATATGGCTAGAAATGTATGAGTATATACAATATTTAGTGTGTGAAAAAGCTTCCACATTTACTATAGCAACCAAAATTTTCTCCATTTGAGAGATCAGATTTGGTACCCTAATTTTAGTTTCCCAATCCCGAAAACTTTAATTAAAGTGAAGAAGAGACTCGAGAGAATAGAAATTCACTCAATTCTCGGTCTAATCAAATGCAGCAATTAATTCTGGCATCCATATACCCTGGTAACTAAAACAAAAAATAATTAAGATAAAATCCAAACCAAATTATTGGCATTCATATCTAATGATTAAAATAAAATCCAAATCATCTTCTTGATTGATCTGTCTAGTGTCTACCACTTTGTTTGCGCATGCCTAAGTATATATATCCACACAATACTCCCCTTATGACTTGATGAGTACTATACCGCCCTTTTTCTTTTCCTTATAAAATATAATGGATTGAAATGCCAATGTTTCATTATTTCTTGAGGACAGTTGCAAATATGTCAAAAATGTTTAGTAAAATTATCAAAATATTACTACATTTAGTAATATGTCCAATTTTAAATGACAACTTTACCCAAATAATATATATCTATAATATATTTGTAATATATATGTAACATATCTGTAATATATGTATGTGATATACATCTAATATACTATTGATATGAGTGTCGTCTAATATATACTATTGATATGAGTATCTGATATAAGTAAATTTTTTCCTATATTTAAAAGTTTAAAAAACGTATTTTGAAATACATAAAAGATTTTTCTATCCCAATGCAATTTACTTATTTTAATTTATACCATCTTAGATTAATCACATGTTGGAAAAGATCATTTCTCGCCAAACTTAAGAATTGGCACTAATATTATTTTCCAAATCCAAACAAAACTATGGTTTCAGTGCTCCACCATTAAAAAAAAAAAAAAAAAATTGAACCTTTTATTTTATTACATTACAAGTGACACAGATTAAGATTTGTGAATCTGTGATTAATTATATAGTTAAGAGAGAGTGAGGATGAGGCGTAAGCATGATGTGGAGGCTAATTCATTAATTAAGCAGACTCCAATCCCTTGATTAAGGGTCTCCATCTCTCTCCTTTAGGAACTCGTAGGGCTTCATGTTCCTAAATTAGTGCTCCAGTTAATACAATACTAATTAAGCTTAATTAATCAACCATTAGATCAAACTTTAACTATATATAAATAATATATAAACAGTAATGGAGATGATGGCTTTGGTTTAATTAATAAAGACAACTATGGTTTTATGCACTTCTTTGCATGCTGTTTCCTTTTTCCTCCTTTTGTAAGCCATTTATATTTCAATGCACAGTTTTATATATATCAATGTCGGTCGCTTTGGACCCTACCAAGATTTGTCACTAACCCTAATGCTTCATTTTGATTATTATATAATGACATTTTTTTCAAATTGAATGTCACATGACGCACATAAAAACTCTCCTAGTAACATGCATGATACATCATTCAAAACTTTATTAAATTCTTCAAAGTCTCATGAGTTTTGCCAATAATATCAAATATGTAAGTAAACAAAATATAATTAAGTTGTTTTCTTTGCATAATCATATGAAGCCCATTGATCCCAAAGTGCAAATTACAGTCATACTCCCACACAAGATTTTAGATTGTACAATAGTGCATGTATTAAACATTGGCCTGCAAATTATTACAATAATAATTGATTAAATTGAATCATAACACTTGAAAAAATCTAATCTAGTAGAGACATGTGATGATAATAAGTCAAACTAAACTTGAACTATTATTTACTTTCTTTCCCTTTAATTTTGGAGACCTTATACTAATGGAGATATTGTCTCGTATTATATACTATTGATTTTTGTTTGACCTAGTAGGTCGCATTTGACTGTTAATATGTGATTTATTTCAATATATATCTATTGAATTTTATTTAATGAAATTAAACTTGAACAAATGAACAAAAATTGTGTACATATTATTATATATGGAGCAAGAGATGAAATTAGAATTTGCAAATAAAAATGTGGATATCATGGTGAATAGGCCCACCATTTCACATGCATAATTTTAGAAAAGACAATGGGTCCAAGTCCAAGTCCAAGTCCAAAGGCAATATCTACGATAAGACTTTTGAATTCTATCCCTAAAAAGTGGGTTTTTTGGCATTGCACGTGTGGAGCTCACAAGCTAAATGGGATTCGCAAACCAATTGGGCGTAACTTTGGCTAAAAGTTGTACAAAAAGGACTTTTGGATTCGTATTTAACTTTGATTGGGACCATCTGCAATTATTGCCATCTCCATTAAACTTGAATCATGTGCTTTTGGCTCTGCTTAGGCCCATTATGTTTCTGGGCTTTTCTTAAACCCATCGAAAGCCCATTACTTTCCTGAGAAAAATCTGCCTAGGGCTGGAATAATCGCCGTGGATTAATTTGGATGGGAAAAAGGGTATCATAATCCGGTCCGGTTCTTTTATGTCATACATGTATACCGGCCAAATTGTGGATTTTCAAGTATTTATGAAGAATAATATTTATTTTCTCACTGGTCAATAAAAATCTTCAGCTGACTGTTATACTTATGAAGGAAAAGAATAGATAAGAGAGATTTTTTCTAAATTTTTAGGAGTGGTCAACGAAATAATGACCCATCTAAGATAATTTACATATATCTCCAACCAACGGAACAGAAAAGAAAACATTCCAATTTACCGAAATGGTAAATATATCATAATTACAAATGGGAAAGATTTCAAACACCAAGAGGATGCAAGACTTTGATATCTTCTCAAAGGTTGAAAGTTTTGGATCTATCCATAAAAGGGCACCTATTTCTTTCGAGTCAAATGTTCCATAAAATAGCTCCCACTACATTTCGTCATAGAATGTTTCTACTACTCTTTGATTCAGAGGAGAAGGTCTGATCTTTTTAGAAAAAACTCGATCCAATTGCAGAGGGAGATGGAAATATTAAAAGTTAAAAGTTTTGAATAGTTGATACCAAAGATTTGAAGTATATGAAGAAAATGGAGAAGCATGTGGTCCAAAGAATTCGTGTAAGTTATTTAAAATTATGACAAGTATAGAGTCAAACATATATTTGAGTTATTTAAATTGAGGTCGTATTGACTAATAGTGATTTGTTATATAGTTAATTATATTTTGACATGGTTCATACATAATCTCACCACTAATCAATAATGGGAGGTCAATAGGGAAAGTCTCGTAAAAAAATCTACCAATATTAGAGTATGGGTGTGTGATCACAGACTTAGGATGACTAATAATATCTTTTCTCATAACCATTAATTCAAGTACGTGAGGAACATACGTATAAAAAGAGGATAAGATTAAATAAAAGCACTCCAGTTAAGTGAGATAGATGAGATATTGTCTTACAAAAGAAAGTAGACTTAGAAGACCAAGAGGAAGCTAAAACAATAATGTCATCCCAAAGATGATTATCCAACCATAAAATAGATCCCACAGCATTACACTAAAGGGTATTATGACTATTTGCACAGGGGGATAGCATTTCTATGATGAACTGAACTCTTCGATGTGGCCTTTGAATCGGAGGAGATAAGCTGAAAATACCAAACAGCCCATGCCAAAGTGAACATGTGTAAGAACAGTGAAGCAATATGTGATCAAGAGTTTCACTTGATTTATGGTAGAGGAGGCAAATACTGGGCTGATCTGTAGAGAGGGGATTCTAAACTGCGTTCTTTCATTGGTATTTATACCTCGATGAATGGTGCACAAAAGAAAGAACTTGCACTTTTTGGGACAGGCAAAGCCCATAAATTTGTAGCTGTGGTAGAGATGTCGGATGGAACAATGGCCCGATGAACATCAATCTTAGAGAATATGACAAATAATATCAATAGTTAAATACTCAAACAATATTATTCAATCGATGAGAATTCAAACACCTAGGTGTTCAGTTCCTATATACTATACACAAGTTAGTTGACTTATCAATCAACTGTAAATAATTAACTATTTGTAATTATAAAAATAGTTTTTTTAAATAAAGTGGGTGGTTGGAGGATTTGAATTGATTCCAATTATTGGTGAGCTAAACTTATCTCGTCAAAGGTTAATCATTGAGGCGAATTCTGGGATCACAGCTAATGCTTCTAGAGAGCTTAGTGGAAGAGCCGAAATCCGAATCGGGTGAAGAATTTCGTTTGTCGAAGCTTTTTCTGGCGATCTTTCTCATGGAAGTGGTTAAGGAGAGCTTAGGGTTGAGCCTTGTGGTGGTATTGAAGGCGTGGGAGAATTCCCTGTGAAAGTTGATGGCTTCGTTAATGGGTGTGTTGGGAAATCTCAGCACTCTCTCTTTTACGGCTTCGGAGCAAAGCCCACAAACCCATTTCCCTGCAAACCGCCGTTGGATCTCTAAAATGTAGGCTGCGGTGCATTCCTCTTTCAGCCCACAGCAGCTGCACTCGACCTGCCGCACTTCTTCTTCTTCTTCCACTCTGCTCCTCATCATTTCTTCTACTTCATTCTTGTTCCTCAGGTTTACTCTTTCAATCTCTTTGCTTAAATCTGACACCGCCTTCCGAATCACCCTCTGCTGGTTCTCGTTCTGTTCAAAGATATGAACGGTTGTTGATCGATCACTACTACTCAAAAGTTTAAAATTAAGTTCATAGGTTACTAGATTTGTGGACTTGAAAATTCGTACAACAACTAAATAATTGGTATGATCCGAGAGGTGTAACTTTAAAAGTTAAAGTTCATAATAGTCTCAATAAATATATTCTAACTTGTAGTGACTCGATGTATTTGGAATGAATATATTTTTTTTTATAATCCGGAATCGATGTTGTGTGACTTCAACCATTAGATCCCTATAACTAGGGTGTCGACACGACTATCCAAGATGGTAACTGAACGTTGTGGGACTCATCTCCGAATGGGATGAAGTCCCGACTACACACCCTCCAAGGCTCCCACTGGGGAGGAGGTATCACTACAAAAAGTTAGGAGAAGTGAGTTTTTCCTGAGATTTTGTATTATTACATCAAGAAAAAAAAAATTATCCCGAAGACTTTCCGAGTGTCGGCAAAAATAACTTCAGAAAAACCATAAATTTTTGTAGTGTAATCCTCATTTGGTCACAAGCCCACTACGTCATCCAGCCGGTGGTATATTTAAAATAAATTTTGAAAAAGATATTCAAGTAAAATTGTCACACTTCATTTCTAACCAAACACCACTATAAAAATAATTTTTTAAAGAAAATGTTTTTAATCCATAAAAACACTTTTAACCTTGGTTGAGGACAACGCATTAAATCCCATGTATTTCTATAATTATACGACATTTATCTATTTTGGACATAATCTCTTCCGTTAGTTTCACTCAAAATACCTCGTATCAATGGAGAAATACAACAAAGAGAAAGAAAGAAAGAAGAAATTAGAGAAAAGAAGAAAGGGGTGGGCAATGATTATTATATACCTGCATGACTGAAACAAGGAAAATTGCTCCTCCTGTATATGAATATTGTGGTACCATCAGAGAGAACTCTTCAGTTTGAAAATATAGGAATATATGAAGAGGAGGAAGAAGATGAATATTCCAGATATTAAAGAAAAGGTGGGTTTTGTATTACACTATAGGATTATAGAACATATATTGGAGAGAATCTTTGAGTCAAATGGACAAAAAAGAAAAGAAAGTGGAGAGAGATGGGTCTACAAGGCTCCTGTTTACACATATTTATAAGTGTTGATCATTCTGAGAGGAAGAAGAGAGCTTGAGATCAAAAATTGTTATCTACAATACTTTGATTCACTTTTTTTGTTGCCATTAATGAGCCAAATTGCCCCACTAGGGCTTCATACTCAACGAATTTGGGTTGCAATTTGGCTATATGGATGGGAATGCCGCCATTGAAACCATGAATATGTACTCAAATTTTATTTCATATGCTTCTCCAATTATTAAAATTACAAGGGGTGTATATTTAATTATTTACATTTATTTTGTTGGAATTGGCACTCGTGAGGGATTCACGAGCCTAAGTTTAGCCACCTAGCTACTCGACGATTTAATCATGCATGAATTCAGATTTTTGATTCAATGTTTTCCCCAGATTAAGCCTATGGTAAAACCCCTCGTGCCATCTAAAATATCTGCACTACTTAAATATGTGGACAAGACCCAAACCGGAAAAATTAACTTTCAGCCCGTGAGATTTAACAATTAGGGAGATCAATTTAAATGTGTTTTTCTCTATGGAAATTTCCTCTGATGTTTCCCATATAAAACATTTCGTATGACCATTTGAAGGGATATGGTCATAAGTTTTTGAAATTGAAGAATACAAATCTCATAAGTTTTGGTCGTCTGATCGGACCAACTAATGCATGCAAATGGAATTCAACTTTCTTCTAGAATTATACGTTCGCATGTGCAGCAGAAAATGAAAGGGGGAGAGATGGCAAATTTGACCGATCATAGAAATGTTCGATAACGTTTCCGTTGCTTATTTCTCGTTTCTAGTTTCTTAATCTAAGTATCTATATTTCTTGTTTCCCTTTTTTGGGAACATTTTATAGCTAGTATATAAAAATTTTAGAAACAACCAAAACAATTTCTTATTTCTCGTCCTCGTTTCCAATTTATTCCAAAACATAAATAAAAATGTTGTTTAAACGTACTTGAATTTATGGATAATGTTAGGACAGTGTAAATCATTCTTCTTTATTAAAAATTAAGAAACAGAAACAAAAAACAAGAATGTTATCAAACGAGCCCTAAATAAATAAATGGTAGCTAGTAGGTCTCTAAACTTTAAAAAGTATCAAGCTAGATCCATTAAGTGTTTAATATTGTGTTTTGAAGTTCGAATCATATTCAAAAGTTCAAATTTGTGTCTAACAAATAGATGAATATCGTAAAAATTGTGTCTAATTGATTTAATTTATTAGACACTAAATTAAAACATCAATCACTTTTTAGGATACACTGTTAAAAACATTTTGAACTATTCGAACTTTAAAAGTTTAGAAACCAAATATTTTGGAACAAATTAGATACAACTTTGAAAGTTCAGAAACCAAGCCTATAATTTAATGAGAAAAGAGAAAAAAAAAAGTTTAAATCTCATTTGTTGTCGTTGAGAAGAGAGAGAACACCAAGATGGACTGAAGTTGAACAGGGACTCCGTGAATTCCATTGCCACAGAGAGAGACCCATTCCTTAGGGTAAAAAAAAATAACACAGACACACACAGAATCTGGAGCTATGTAATTAATTTAGGTTATGCCTTTTATTCACGGGCATGTCTTCGCTTTATCTTTTTCACTTTTTGTTTTGTTTAAAACCTAATTAATATCATCCAAAGGAAAACCCCCAACTTTAGGCATAAAACACCTTTTTATGTCATGTTATGAGTTAGGGTTTGGTGATGTTGCTAAATTCTTAAAAGGCCAAGTCTCTAAGGCCCTCTCTTATAATTAATTAAGTTGGGGTTTCAAATGTTATTTAACCATTTTTAATAAAATGGGTTTGACTAAATTTTAAATCTTTTGAAAATTTGTCCCCAAAAAAAAAACCCTTTTAAGATGTGTACTTAAGGTGAACATTGGAAAAACCAACACAAAGTGAAGGAAATATTTGAACAGTGTGTAGCTTTGAAAACAAATCTGAGGCACAGCCCCCATAAATTTGGTTTTTAAGATGGGAAAAGTTGGAGAGAGGCAAATCTTTTTATGTGCTATTAAATGCAAAACATGTAGTTGAAGTTGAAGGAAGGGATGGGGTTCGCTTTTTGGCAACAAAAATGAGAATTAATTACACTGAGGCTGCTGGTTTTTCAGTTGGTACTACCTATAGAAACTGCAAACTGGGATGGTATCCTACAAAACTAGGGGCTGAAGCTGAATTATCCCTTAAAAAACCAACAAAATGCATGTCATGTTTCTTCTCCCTGCCCTTCACTTTGCCATTAATTCTCAACCCCAGCCATTCAATAAAAGCAAACAGAGCACAATCATCACTCTTATAAAAGATAAAGTACAGGTTAGTTCCTTCGTCTTTTTTTTTAATCGATAATATATACCTTAACTAAAACTAGTTGAGCAATGCTTGCGTTGGCATGTCAAGTTCCATATCTTTCTACGTGCAATGAGTATAGAAATGTTATGTTATTTTCAAATTATTCGCTTTGGTCCATTTTCTTTCAATTTTAGTTTATTTTAATTCATATACTTTCAAAATGTTCGTTTTGATAACTACTTTTTAAAAACTAAGTCTACACATTATGAAAAACCTTTAATACAAAATTTTAAAATAAATATATTGTGTCATGTTAAAATTGTAGTAAAAAAAATGAGATTAAAAATAAAATTAAAAATTTTAGAAGTACAAAAACCAAAACAAACATTTTGAAAATGCATCAACCAAATTGAACCAAAGTTGAGTACAAAGATCAAAATAACCAAAAACTCAAAGTATAGGACGAGTATATATAGTATTTTAACCTTTATGTATTTCATTTGATTTTCACAATTCAAATGTCAAAGCAATGAAAACGAAGTTTGTAAACCTAAAATGTAAATGGTGTCGTTATTTGATCAAAATTACAATGCACTGTAAATATACGGTTAGAAATTTACTTTAGTCGTGCTGAGAATCTACATAACTAATTATATGATTAGAAAAGTGTACTCAATAGCCCACTTAAGAAGTATTGAAACTAATAAGTAATTCGTAAATTGGAGAAAACATATCACGAATTTGTAATATAGAAGAACAAATGATCTAAAATGATTTTCCATATTTCAAATGTTACAGATTTGCAAGTGATGGGCGGAGAGATTTGAAAGCCTACTAAAGTTTGAACTCGCCTCGCCCAATTTGCAGACATAGAATATGCAACAATTATATGTGCGTGGACAATTAAGCCACTTCTACTATAGCTTTTTACGCAGAACCAGTCCTTGCCTTTCTGAAAGAACAGACAAAACTAGCATTAGCTAATATACTTTCTGAGGCAAACCATTCCCGTCTCCAGCTTACACATGAGAATGACAAATAGAGAGACGATTTTAATTGATGGCAAAATCAAACATTAGAGTTGATGTGTCGATCTGCGACACAATCTTCTCAAACGAACTTTTTCCTGGTGGTTAAAAAAGTATATGAGCTTGTTAATCAGTATTAAAGAACTCCTTCATAAGCTGTAACAAGCGATTGACAAAGCAAGAGAAAATGATACTTGCCTCGGTGCTGTCATGATCATAACGAACCAAGAAAAGACACCTGCAGCCCCTAATATCGTGCATTCTCCTCTGGATTTCAATGATATGGGCGTCATAGTAGATTGCCTGATCCCTCCTCTCCTACAAATTTGAACGCTTTAACGTGAGGTGGACTACAGAGAAATTAGTATTCTACAGGCCGTCCAAAGGGTTTTGCATCAATAGTCACCTGGAAGCAGAGTACAAGGTCCCCAACCTTCACTTTCTGACATTCTGAATGTTCTAGGGGGACAGAACGTTCTCGTACTGCCTGTTTTATATTGACCCATTCATCTTCCTCAGCTCCAAATCCGACAAATCTGACACGCACTTCCTTTAATGAATTGGCAAAATTAATCAGACAATCTATGCATCTGCAAATGAACACTAGCATGCAAGTATATACTCTGCTACTCCTCATATTACATGCATGTACAAGTGTCTCCCTAAGGAAAGTACTCATACATCTAAAACCCAGACACCTTTATGAACAATGACCTCATTCGGTTCAACAAATCAACATACTCAGGCATCATAAATCATAATACAAGAACAAGGGGAGACAATATGTCATGGTTTAAAGACTCACAGCTTCGCCTGAACTAAGAAATCTATGCGTAAGGAACATGGCAACATCATACCTGCACGATATAAGTGGATTGACATCAGAACCCACCAGCAAAAAAATTAGAATGGATAGACAAGCAGTGAGCATAAATTCAGCTTCACCTAAAACCAACATAAATTCAGCTACGACGTAAGATTTAAAATGGCACACTGGTAGTAAGATTTAAAATGGCTACAGAAACATGTAACTCATGCGTATCATGACTTCCCTTGCTTCAAAGAATGGTGATAACAGGTGAAAACCAGAATATTAGAAAAACAGTCTTTATATTATTGAAGGGTTGGGCACAATGAAACTCAAAGATACTGCGCAACTTATCCCATCTAGGTCACTGTCTCTTCTATCTGCTGATATCCATAGCATTGTTTTGGTGTCATTATTTTTATATCTCAAATCCTCTTCTTTGCAATCCGTAAAAGCATGAATTCAGGCATATGTTTCCAGCTTAAATACCACCAGAGCAAATACAAAGACAAGGACCCAAAGATGCAACCAACCAAACAGACCAACTTTACAAATAAAAATTATCGGTAGTGGTTTCTTCATGTACCATGCACCATCCTTTGATGACCTTGCTTCAAATTCCAACTCTGATAAATCTGGGCTCTTCTCACCTGCTTTTAAATAAAGATCATTAGCACGCGAAGGAGGAGGAAAAACTCAAGAGGGTGCAAATGCACCTTATAGTTATATCATTATATGCCTAACCAACTCTAGAGGGCTAGCTACACCCAAACCTTGGTACGACACAACCTACCCTCTAGCTCAAGAACCTTCCTAATGATATATACCCAACCCATAGAATTACAACTAACTCTCAGGGGATACATTTCCCTTTTGCCCTTTCTAGAACAAACATCAACTATTGGAGGCTATCAAAATCTCAATAATTCAAATTATAGATCTCTCCAAAGCGTCATTTGAATTGTTCCAAATAAAAATTAATGGTTTATGTATGGTCAAGAGTGCATGCACAATGGGTTGCAGTTAGAGTTGAAACTAGAAAGGAGCAGTCATTTAACATTGAACTGTTCTACAGCTGAGAAACTTTGCCTTCTAAAACATTGGACAGAAATGCATAGATAAAGTTACCTTCGGGGACTTGAGAACTTTCTTGAGTCTTATTTGAAGTGCAAGCTTTGGGAATTTCAGTCATCCTCTTTTCAATTTTTGGAAAGTCTTGCAATCTATTTTGGAACCAATTGTGTACCTGTAACAATATAACATGGTGTGAAGACAAATTTTCACCTGAACCTTTTTTTTCCCTTCTGAAACAAGAAAATGCAAAAGACTGCCACATAAAGAAGCAGTAAAATAAAGAAAGGAAGATGGAAGAAAATAGAGGGGAAAAAAACATCTCAGGAGACCTGTATAAAACTCTACTGTTGTGATGAGGGAAGACTTGCCGTGGTGCAAGATTCCAAACCTAACTCCGTTTTTTTTTTTTTGAAACATAAGTTTTATATACAAGAGGGCACTAACAGCCTAAGGGTTGGGGGTAGAGGGAACCTCCACCCAAGAGCAACTTAAGGAGAGCTTTTCAATTGTTCATAAACATGCCTAAGGTTTTAGTTACAAAAGAATTAAACCTAACCCCGTTACAAAATCAAACTTCAAAATGCATTTTTATTCTTCTCCTGCCAAACACCCACTAGTGACCAACAAAATCCCCTGCCAAATAATGACCCTTCCACAAAAATGGAAGAACAAGCATTTCCTCAAGAAAGCCCTTCAAACCAAAATTAAAGGCAGAACTCACAACAAGGACCTGCAGGATTTTGCACCAAAAGTCATGAGAAAAGGGGCTACGAAGTACTAAATATTTCTGAGCTTTGCGGTCATATTTGACAAATGCACTACAAGGTTGCAAGTACACGAAAGCATACCTCCTGTGAATAGAGTTGTCGGATTTGATCCTCCCATGGGATACAATCCATGCAAAGCACTGAACTTAACAATGCACTTAAAGGCCCAAAGTCTACTAGAAGAGTTGAGTACAGGAAGTTCAACTTGAAGAAACAATTTGGGGCAAAGAGGACCATAAGTGAAGGAACTAACGGACTGAATAAATTTTCTGATAGGTTGCATCAAACTTCAATGAAACAAAAACCAATGTACGAAAAGGGAGAGAGAGATGGTATCACCCGATCACAGGTCAAGGAATAACAACAGGGCCTCCCAATTGGCTTTAGTTTGAAGAATCGAGTAGATTCAAGATTTCAATTCAGAGATGTCCAATAAGAATACTCTGCACTCTTTTATCCTTCTCCAAAGGTTAGAGGAGAATCCCACTAATCAATTTAAGGGAGGTGTCCCAAAAATTAAGATTTGATCCTGAACACTCGATTAAGCTCATGCCACAATCTATCTCTCTCTCCACCAGGAAATCTCCACGATGATTTTTGAGAAAAAAAATGTTAATCAAGTTCTCTTTGCAAAATATACAGCAATATAAGTAGAATAATATTTCAAAAACAACAGAATAAGCAAAAAATAAACAATGTGACAACCTCCGTCCACTTTATTATAGGCTTCCCAGCACGACCAGAGGACCGACTGTATAGACATGGAATGCCAAAACAAGAGAACTCGACATTATACATACATCATATACATTAAAAGATTAATTAAAAGTTTTCTGATAAACGAGAAAAATGAAACTCACTTGAAACCTTTGGTAACTTTTTGAGAAAATTCTCGATTAAGCAATTGTTCTCCTGATTCCTCTAGCAATTTCTCCATTTTCTCTATCTGTTTGCAAGGGTTAAACCCAAAGGGGTAGGGGGAGCTAAAATGAATTTTCCTGTTACATTATAAAAGGAATGTACAACAAACTCTCGACCCAAAACAAATTATGAATTGATGCCAATGAATATTTTAATAAAAGAATATATATAAATATGCCTTCAGAGCCCTGAATATCCTGAGAACAAAATTTCTCAGAGAACTCTTTTTTATTAGAGGGAAAAATAAATAAATAAAAAACTACATTTCTTTAAAATGTAGTTGCAAATAGGAACAAGAGGCTTGGTCCTCTACCAGTAGAAAAATGAAGATTACATTGGATAGAGAATAACAACAAAAGCTGTATGTAATTAGTTCTGCTTCCCATGAGGATTTTCATCTTTACTTTAATAGAAAACAGAATTTTCATTAAGATAAATAGCACATGAAAATGGGACCACGCAAGAAAACATTGGTCCGGGTGCACATAGAGGCAAAGACTGGAGAATTTTACAGGTGCGCTTCCCAGCTAGTGGAAATCAAAACACGCGAACACATAGAGAGTCCTTAATAACAAAAGATGCTGGAGAAAATAATTTTTCTTTCCTCCTCACATTTTCATCTGCATAACTATATTTCATTATGATGAAAAAATTAGGAAGACTCGCTAGCTCTTCGTAAGAAGGTGCTAAAATTTTGTATCTGAAACAAGAATGAGGGATGGATTCTGAGGTAGATGATATTGAAATAGTAATCCTTTCTCGGTATAGGTGGAAAAAGAATAGTTGATTCCTAACCTATAATTCCCTCTCGTCTCGTCTCGACTTTCAAAGGTAGAATAATATATATAAGAGATTAACTGTGCCCTAATGTTGAGCTTAGCTTTTGGGTACTACTAGAAATGTTGAAGGCTATAGAAACGAAGTTCAGTGGAAGTTGAACACCGATGAGGCCTGGAAACCGACGAAAAAAATTGAAGAAAATCAACAATGATTCCACATAACCCTTATTGTTTGCTGATGAAATATGTTGAACGATAAGAAACATGTACTCGCAAAACGAAATCAAGTCCATTCATTCATCGTTAGCTATTGACAAATTGTTTCAAATTATGCAATAGTTCACACATGTGTGGCCTCCATTGCACTCAAGATCATCAAAACAAAAGATCCTTGGGGCATTATCATTGAAGAACAGAGACAAAATGCTTATGAGTCAGTGTCCTGTGCAACACAAATAGTTTGAAATTCTACTTTGACGCCAAGATAGTTAAATAAATGGAGATTTCCAAAAGCATGAATGATGTTCCTACCTCGGCCTTGGTAAATCCAGAAAAGACCTGTCTCTCTCTGGGGCGGAGTCGCTCCATTGTCGACTGTTTCCTTCGCTCGATTTTGGACCCAACCCAGGCGTGTTTCCTCCGCTTTTCAGTTCCACGCCTCGTCGAAGAGAAATTCCCAAACGGGCCGCCTCGACGGGTCCCCCAGCCACGGTGTGCCTCCGGGGCTTTTGAGGGGCTTTTCCTCTTCTTCTTCTTTTTTCCTTTTTAGTGTTAAATTTCCGTGTCTATGAGTTGGATATCAACGCGACCAAATTCACATTTCCTATTCTATCAGCAAGTATTATTAATACGGACGTAATATTAATAATAATAATAATAATAATTCAACTTAATTAACGAAATTAAGAGGACTTTCTTTTCTAATAATGTAAACAAATAAAAATAAAAACAACAATAGGTTTGAAAATATTTCCAAAAGTATAGTAGAAGACTCGCGTCCTTTGTCCTTGTGTGAATTGGAGCCACGCGGGCGATAAAAATTGTGTACATTGTACACGATTTCACTACATCAGGTCCCCACCCCTTTTATTCTTTTCTTTTTTTCCCTTGATAATACTTCTTTTTTTTCTCGGATGCACTTGTCCAACATATATAACAATGTGGCGTCAACATCGTGACCGATGAGTATTATATTTCTTTAATTAATTAATTAATTATGATATTAATTTAAATTTATATGCTAATTTTTTATTTTTTATTTTTTTCGAATTTTTTTGTGAGTGAAATGTAAGACATTGCAGTAGAACATAATATATCGCAGTTGGATTCTTTATGTGAAATTTATTCAAATCATAAACATCTGGAAGGGTACTAGTAGACCAGTTTCTTCCAACTTTGAGAGGAGGCGCGCTCGTAGGTTCCAAATTCAGCCGGCAAATTTAAATTTGTATACTTTTCGAATTCAACCGACAAATTATTATGGTTAATAAATTTTACAAAAAAAATTGAGTGAACTCATGTACATTGTACACGACTTATTGAAAATCGTGTACGATGTACATAAGTTCAGTACATACACGATTTATTCCACGTCACCTTCCACATGTAAAACATGTACATTGTACATATTTTTGACTAACTCCACTATCCTATTTTTGTCAATAGTTTTGAAATTCACCATATTTCATATTTTTATTATTTTATTTACATTTTTTAATTTTATTTTATAATTTACATTAAATTTGTAATTTCTTTTTTAATTTATATTATTTGAAAATTTTGTCCTTTTTTATTGATTTAAAGGTGTATTTATAATTGTTTATTTTGTTTTCTAAATTTTCATCAATATTTGGCCTATTGAAATTGTTAATGAAGTTATTTCAAGGTATCATCGCTTCGGTTAATTACTATAACCCTTATATATTTTTAGCGTCATGGAGTTAGATTAGTGAGTTATTACGATTTATTTGATGGATAGCTGCTTTTAAGCCCACCTCATGGTTGTCATCCTTTGATCACTTTCTTTTCCACTAAGTGGTTGCTTGGGAACTTTAGAATAGAATCTAGATTGTCTTTGTTTCAACTTTGGGCCTAACAAGGAAAACACGAAGGGTATAAAAAGGAAAACTTGCAACTTTATTTTTTTTTTTTTAATTCAATCATATGGAGTGGAGGTTTGAATATCTAATATTATGGTCGATGATGCATTTATTGACCAGAGATGTTCAAGTTGACAAATTGTACTCCGATATATTTGATACCAAAAGCAAATCAAATAGTGAAGTAATAATTAAAATCTATAATATAGGCTAGAGACTACTAATCTCTTATATTTAAATATTATAGATATATATTATAGATATGTTGATTAATCCTATGTGGACAAATAATCTACAAACATATGTGAAATTTAGAATCTTAACGGGAACGTAAGGAAAAAGAACGTTGAATTATAAAAGTGCTCCTTAACTTGAAGGTAGGTTTCAATAACGTCACTCAACTTTTAAAAATTCAATTTTGATTCTTAAATTTTAAATGTATTGATTTTAACGGAAAACTAACAAGATTGTTTTTAAAATAATTTAAAAAATCAAGGATTAAAATAAAACATTTGAAACGAGAAAGATATAACTAAAACATTTCCAAAGGCATAATTGAAAAGCACTCAAATTCAAATGAATAATTGAAAATCACTCAAATTCAAAGGAATGACTGTCTATATTATATACCATAAGAGGCATTACCACATTTCCTGACAAAAAAAAAAGTCATCACCACATCATTTGTAACAGAAAAGTTAATGGAAAGGGAATTTTAAAACAAATCTAAAGTTTAAAGGAAAAAAAAACGAAATTTAGGTCGAGGAATATTACCAAAATCAAAAGAAAAAACACGAAAAGAAAACTGCTGGGGTAAAACTGTAAAATTCCGAAGCGCGTGGTACTTACGCCAATATGCAATTTAAATTGCCGCCAAAGGGTAAAACTGTAAAATTCCGAAGAGCGTGGCACTTAAGCCAACATGTAGAATAAACTGCCGCCAAACGGTAAGACTGTAAAAGTTTTTGAAGCGCGTGGTACTCACGCCAACACGTCGTATAAATAAACCGGGACCGGACCTAGTCCGTAAGGAGCCAAAGACGAAAGATAACACGATACGAAGAACAGAAGCGAGGATGGGTCGCTCCCTTCTCTCCCACTTCCTCGTCCTCTCACAGTCGTCTCCTCGCTTTACGCCTTCTCTGTACGTACTTCGCTCCCTCCTTCAACTCTCAATCGCACACACATTCGCGCAATATCAAATGCAGGGAAATTTGAGAACAACGTTTGCTATTTCTAAGTCGGATTCAACTTTCGAGCAGATCATTTTGCGCGTTTGGAAGCAAATACTCCAAGACTCACTCTCTAATTGGCAACAGTTCCCGATGTTACTGTAATATCTCCGTCACGGAGCCTGCTGCGCCGGAGCGTCCTCCCAGTTCCGTGAAGTAATTCTGTTTTCTACTGCATTCACTATACCTGATCTCGAATTTTTCTCGTTTTTATGGTATGAAGCATTGTCGTGGATCGAGAATATAATCTACTATGTTTCTGAGATTTCATTGTTCGCAACTATATAAATTTTCAAGTCGTTAGGTCTACATTTGCCAGCGAAACTTCGCAGAAGCAGTAAGATAAACATTCGATAGCGGTTGGTTTGTGGAAGATGGCTTGTGTTGTTGGATAACTTTTAAAGCAGAGGTGGTAGCCCTCGGCAAACTTCTGACGTCTGCCTTTTCAAGTTTGAGATTCACAGTGCTGCTCTCTATGATGCAGATGCCTCGGAATTGTTGACACCGGTTTACTTGGATGAATGGAGCGACACTGCCATTATTCTTCGTTCCACATTGCTCCCTTATTTTACCATTCTCTTTTTAATTTATGGATGCTTTTGTTAGAATATATATTTTTTGTGAGTACCTTGCCCCGTCGTGCAATTAAATGAAGTCGAATATTGCTTTTCCAGGCAGAGGATAGTATCCGGTGTTCAGCCAACAGGCTCCATTCACCTTGGTAATTATCTAGGTGCAATAAAGAATTGGATTTCACTTCAGGTTTATATTACTTCCGATACTTACACGGCTTTACAGATCATTTACAAGTTTGCAACGATGTCTCTGCTTGTATACTCCTCCTTCCTTGTTTGGAATCGGACATGTTAATTTGTTACATACTAGGTTGAATAGCGTCAGTATCTTTTATGGATAGCTCCCTGAAAGAGTTTGTTTTAACGTAGATTCGTAGTGTTTGAAGTAATGAAGGCTAGGCCCAGTGCTTCTTGTATTACAAATTAACCGTTGCTACTTCAGACCTAAGTAGCTATAGAAATAAATCAGTACCTTGGGAGCTGACTGTGCTGCCGCTTGAACCATCAAAACATACCCAGGACCTTGAATCTAGGTTTAGGTTCCTAACGATTCATCCATGAAAAGGAAAAAAAGAAAAGAAGAAAAAGAAGAGTTTATATATAGGCAGGGTATAAGTTTATTGGCCCTACGATTCCCACGTAATAACCCGAGAGATTTGTTTCAAACTTGTCACCATTCATTTTCCTCACATGTTAGCTACAATGAAATTTGAATACCCAGCTGCTGTGCACAAGTTATTTTTCTTTTGCCTCTATATTTTTGCTCCCTCTCTCCTACTATTTGTTTCTTCTAAAAAGAGATTTCTCAAAGTCATTTTTGTCATTATTATTATTTTGAATTTAACGTCAATAGTAATAAATTTAAAGGAACAAAACATGCTGCATACCATTCCCTCCGTGGTCGAAATGTTATTGGTATAAACTCGTGAAGAAGTTAATCCTTCTTAGCTGCATGCATATCTGGACATGGTTAGCGATGTTATCATTTTCAATTTTGTTTTATTCACATGCTTAATGAAAATGATACCATGATAATTGTCATGCAAAAATTACTATGTTTTCATGACTTTCCCAGAAATAACATAAAATGCTTCTACTCTTATATTGTTGTAGGATTTCACTATTCATGTTATTCTTTTTGTGCAGGATACGTATGATACTCTCTTCTTCATTGTGGATCTCCATGCGGTATGTTTAGACAATTTATTTTTTCATTTTTGTTAATCATGCACAGATTCTTATCTTCTGGCTTCCTCAGTTTAGTGCCTCAGGCTTTTGACTATTATCAGAGTGTCTTTCATTGTGCATGTGAATCTTGGTATGACTTTACGTCTTATTTGTTTACTGAGAAACCATCAAATACCTCCCTACAAATGGTCAGAACTTCTAGTACAAGAAAATTTATTTTGTTGAAGAAATTGTTGAAAGCGGTTGAAAATAGTAATTTTTTTTAGATGAGGTTGGGAAAGAATTAAGGGGTGGGTTTGACTATCAAGAAGAACCAAAGGTGCTGTGTTGATGTCTGTGCGCAAGCAATTGAAAGAGATATAAAGTTTGGCTCTGTAGGTTTTTATTTGACACCCGAACTTTCCAAGTGAGATATGCTGAGGTGTTGTCTCATTTTCATCATTGTTATTCCAATTTTCAATTCTGTATCAACTTAAGCACTCTTTCCATAATCCACATATACTTTTCTCAAATGGTGCACAGTGTCTTGGTGAAGGGAGGCCTTAGTTTGATGTTCAACTTTAAAGGCAAAAGCGTTTGAAGGTTTATTTTTGGGAGGCTGTCAAGAAAATGAATGGTTGTAACTGCATCCGTCTATCATTCAAATATAATTTTAAGATATGATATTCATTACCGGAATAAACTAATTGTAATCTTATGTAATATAGTATTTTTTTATTAGGACCTTTTTATGATAGTCTTTGGGTTTTTCTGCTATTTGACAATTGTACCTTACATTTTTTGTTTTTATTATTTTCATTGCTTCCAGATCACGTTACCTTATGATACACAGCAACTATATAAAGCAACAAGAGATACAGCAGCTATTTACTTGGCATGTGGTGTGGATACCTCCAAGGTTTGGTGTGTGGCATGTGTCTGTATCAATGAGTAGATATGTAGAAAGTTTATGTGGCTCTCTCTTTCTGTATCACAAAAGGGACTTTTATGTAGTTATTGTGTAAAACTTTAGAACGCCTGAAGCTGTGGAAGATATATGAATAAAATTGAAATGGACTATACTGCAGGCTTCTGTTTTCGTTCAGTCTCACGTCCGTGCTCATGTAGAGCTGATGTGGCTGCTTAGTTCAACCACTCCAATTGGTTGGCTGAACAGGATGATTCAATTTAAGGAGAAATCACACAAGGCGGTGCGTTGGCTGTATGATATTTCTGTTTTTTGTTTCCAAATTACTTGCGTACGTTTTATATGGGAAAAGGATGTTTTCTTTGAGTTTTCATTGTGCATATCATGATAAAACATTGAGACCTTGTCAAGGGAAGGCATACACTAGAAGGAAATTCTGATTGACAGACTTCTAAATCTGTCAGTGAGGTGTTTTGAGTTGTATTCATTGTCTGCACATTATTGTTTAAATTTTGTCTGCTTCAAAGCATAAAATCTTAAAGTAAAGTCCCCTGAAAAGGATGACCAAATCAAAGCAAGCATTTATACCCTTTTTGGAATACTGAAAGGAAAACTTGATGCCTTGGCCATTGAGGACCTCAAAAATTATCAACCAGTTTGTGTTAAATTTATGTTTGTCATCATGCTTCTGAAGTCATGTTTTTATTGAAAGTGGTTTCTCAAAACTCACTGTACCTTCTCATGTCATTTAGCATCTACGGTCTACCTTGATTTGGTAATTCAGATTGGAATCTGATACTGCTTACATGGTTTGGATATTGTAGGGAGATGAAAATGTTGGTGTTGCACTTCTCACATATCCTGTCCTTATGGCTTCTGATATTCTTCTATATCAGGTGGTCTACCCAACATGCACCCATTCCCTTGTATATTAATGTGTGAAATTTTACTTCAGGGCGAAATTTGTTCTGTATTTTCATTAATAAAAAACACTCGGAAATTTTATTAGGTTGCTTCTTGGTAGCCAATTACTACTGATGTTTATCTCATCCTGTTGTCTCGTCTTTGATAATAGCTGCTAAGGGTTTAAAGGCTTAGTTCGACATTATATATTACAGCTTTGGCTTATGTCAACTATTTCTTTTTGTCGTTTTGCCTTCATTCTGTTATTATTTTTTCCCTATTTGCATAACATGTATGGATGATGCCTAACTTATTTCAAATCGTGTAGAATTTTAGATATTGTTTAGCCTATTGAGATCAATTAAGCATTTTCCCTACATACTCATTTAAACATTGGTAATTGCAAGGACTATATAGGTGTTAATGTAATATGTTCTACAGTCAGATTTTGTCCCAGTTGGTGAGGATCAAAAGCAGCATCTTGAGTTGACTCGTGAGTTGGCTGAACGTGTTAATTATCTATATGGTGGAAGGAAGTGGAAGAAATTAGGAGGGTGAGAGTCAGTTATGTTTCACGTCGAACTGTTTCTGTTCACAACCAAATGGAAAAAATAATTTATTTGACTGCTTGTACTTATTATTTAATGAATGCAGGAAAGGTGGGGTTATTTTCAAGGTGGATTTCTGCTCTTCCTCTACTTGATATCATGATACGTCATGCTATTGGAAATAGTCCTCAACCTTTATCCTAATGTAGGTTCCTGAGCCACTTATACCTCCAGCTGGAGCACGGGTTATGTCCCTCACTGATGGTCTTTCTAAGGTACATTTACAAATTTTGCTAAATAGAAGGTTCGGAAATATGTTTACATTGAGGTAATTATTAATTTTATTTGTTTCAAATTGAAATATGAGTAAGATGGTACTGCCCACTCTTAACTTATCAAAGTCTCTTATGGTTCATGTTCCAGATGTCCAAATCTGCACCTTCTGATCAATCCAGAATCAATCTTCTCGACCCAAAAGATGTAATTGAGCTTTATCCTTTAACATATTTTAGTTCAACAACATGAGGATTCAGTTGTTAACTACTTGTCCTTGAAGCTTAAACAAGCTTAAACAAACGAATATCTTTGGTTGTTCAGTTGTTCTCTGCTGTCTTTGATTTAATATCGTGTCAAATCTTTCCTGCAATGTAGGTAATTGTGAACAAGATAAAGCGTTGCAAAACTGACTCATTTCCAGGGTCAGTCCAAAAGCCTTAAATATTATCTTGTGATTTCTATTATAATGTTCTGTTATGCTTTGTAAAATTTAAAAATTTGTTTCTATTGGCACAAATTTTATGAGGTATTTATATACTGAAGTTGTCAACGATATTCCAATCTTGTCTCTTGTGAATTACACAGGTTGGAATTTGACAATCCTGAAAGACCTGAATGCAACAATCTTCTTACAATTTACCAACTTGTTTCTGGAAAAACAAAAGAGGTGTTCTACCTAGACAAGTTGGAATTTTAACCTTCTAAAATTGGGTATTGCTAATAGTTTCCATTGCAGGATGTTAAGCAGGAGTGCAAAAATATGAATTGGGGAACATTTAAAATCCTTTTAGCGGATGCTCTGGTCGATCATCTACATCCTATCCAGGTTTGCTTCTAATTATGATACTCTTTAGGAGGTAAGATGCATCTAGTGGCGTGCAAGTGTTAAAAAGATATATATATTTTTTATTTTTATGTTTTTATAAAGCAAATAAAGGAAGCAATAAGGTGAAAATTTTGTTAAAAGGAACAGATTGCCTCTATGAACTTAGTCTGGAAGTAGAATGGTTAAGATACGCCTTGGAATACTTGATTGTCACTCCTTCAAATCTGAAGTTTTTTTTTCTTCTTTTTTTTTTGGGATAAGAAATGATAAAACATGTACTGATCTCCCCAACCAAAACAAGATAATGGCCAAGTGACAAGGCTGCCCATTTCCTAAGACGAGGAGTGAGGTGAAAGGCTTCCGATATGGAGAAATTTCAAAAAGATTTGTGTAAAGCACTCTAATTTGAGGATGTAAACTGTACTGAATCCCAAAAAGTTAAAAAAGAATCTGGTCTATCTGAAAAGATTCTGTCATTTTCTTTCCTAGAGGCATTTGTTTCAATAACTCTTGCTTTGTTACTAAACCACCAATTTGAAAGCAAATATGGAAGCCAATCTTCAATATTCTCAGCAGGGCAACAAACCAATCCAAAACATTGACAAATAAAATTCCAGATTTCCACCCCTTCGAAGCAGATCAGATTCTTTTACTGTATTTGTTACTGGGAGGCTTAATATGATAGGCATGATAAACCTTTCATTCGCTTGGGGATATGAGGGAACTAATGTGAAGAAGAGTAGGGAAGTTAGTTAGAGGTAGGGTATGTTTTGTACGTGTGGGGACTTGTAGGCCCTTCTCTGTTATCAGTTATGCATGGTATATGTAGGGGGGAAAGGACTGTTGGTCATCACGTATGTAGGGGCTATTTTGGGAGAGATCGAACCTCTCAAATGTCTGAACCTGTTATGTTTTCCTCTTTTATCTTCAAGTATAGAGCATTACCAATATTTACACTCCCAAATTATCCATTACAATACTCTCGATGTGATGCTAAAAAGACATCCCAACCCTGAAATCTCTTTCTAAACATGTGCCCTTGTGCAACGAGAGATCCCAGATCATTTTTTTCCACTTTTCTCCTTTGCTCAGAATCTCCAAGATTCTCTCTTTAAAGAGTTTAACCTGGTATGGTGCTTTCCTCGGTCCACCTCTTCAGCAATTGAACAAATTATAGTGGTTCACTCTTATAAGAAGAGAGGTCAAGTCATTGGGAGAATGGTATTAAAGGAATTTTACGGAAATTTAGGATGGCAAGGAATTACAGAACTCTGTTTTGTAATGAACATTCTTTTTTGACCAATGTCAATTGCAGAAACTTTGTGCACCTCTTGGCTTGTAGAAATGGTTTTCTATGTCGTTTACTTGTTTCTACGTGGCAAGAAAATGATTGTTATTTCTCGTTCAATGCTCTGCTATTTCTTTCACTTATCCCTGAACTTTGCATTACAAGTCCTTCCTCGGATTTTTTTGTGTTTATATGTGATTGACAGCACAAGTTATTCTTTATTAATCTTCAATTTAGATCTCTACTATGCAGGTCCGCTACAAGGAAATTATATCTGATTCAGCTTATTTGGATGAAGTCCTGGCCGAAGGTGCTAGAAAAGCTGCAGGTATTGCTGATGCTACTGTCAATAATGTCTATCAAGCCATGGGGTTCTTTCGGAGATGAACAGAATCGAGCGACCATGATAGATTCTCTAGGATAAACATTAATGAAACCACGACCTTGAAGAAATGGTAAGTTCCCGCTGTTTATAAGTTTTTGTAGAATACAAGCTAGCATATTGTTTATGACAGACATTAAAGGCTGCAAAATTCTTTGATGCAGTTTTTATTTAGCATTATTACCATTTTTTCTGTAAAGGTTAACTTATTGGGCATCATATATACGGTGACGTGTGATAACTTGTTAGTTGGACACCTAACGAAAAATTGCGTACCATGACGGTTCAAGATGTCTGCAGGAATGAGATCTTTTCTGTCAATGAACTCTTTCCAGTATAGAAAAGAAGTTTTTGGATTTGGTAATAACTTTTCTTGTTATTTCGAGTAGCCATGCAGTATTTTCTTATTTTGCTCTTTTTTTTTCTTCCTTCAAGAAAATTGGGAATTGTAAATATTGGACAGGCATGCCAAATTTGAACCTCAATAGGTTTGACTTTAATTGTGCGATATGCGAGTCAACGTAGTATATAATGTCAAGAAGTAGGGAATTATCATACTCCAACTACAAAATTGTATAAAGTCTTGCATTAGCCGCACCGATATTCCAGCAGAATCTTTCTTCCTTTTTTCTTTCACAAAATCATTTGTGAAAAAGAAAAGTGCACGAAAGCTAAAAAGGGTCTCAAAAAGGGCTTATAAAAGTGAAAGTGGAAAATTATCATGGCTTAAATCGTATCTAGTTAAGTGGAATGTAGGGGTCCGCCACTAGGATTGGTGCAAGAATTTTGTTATGCCAATGGTGATGATACTCACTTCTCTACTGATTTTGGAGTTTACAATTAAATTTAGAAACTTGACTTCTTAGGGTTAATTTTGACAACTTGATCGATGATTTGACCGATTTACTAAATTACAGATTAACATCTTTAGTGTATTTTCTTCATTCATCTCTGCAATTTCTCACAACGTATTTTTTTTTTGTGTTAGTTCAACAACATTTGAGTAGAAATTAACTATGTTCAGGTTGAAAACACATCTGTTTCATAATCGAGAGTTCATTTATACTTTCCCTCTCCTCGAGTTAATAAAACTTGATCGTAATTTTTGTTTGAAAAAATATTAGGTGCCTTCGATAACTATATTTAGTTACTTGGCATATTGAGTGGAATGTAATAATGTAACACAAAAGTCAAAGTGTGATTTGAGGATGATCAAGGGATTTTTGGTGGCTAAGAATGAAAATTAAAGTTGTCCAAAATTTAAAAATCACAACAAAGGATTTGGATTAAGGCGAGGTCAGACGAGTCAACTAGTGTGGGGGGTGGATATGATGAAGCTGCGGAAAAAAAGAGTGTTGCATATGTGGCAACTTGTTTCTGTCTGGTCATTTTATAAATAGTTGACCGTTGTTTCCTTGGTGGAGTTACAACTAACTAAATTTAAATCATTTTCCAATCAAATTCAACTTACCCTTTCCTTGCATGTTCGAATCTACAACTTAACAACCTCGTATTTACCATACATGAATCTCAACATATGAACATAGTATTAAGCCTATAACTTAGGTTGTTTATTTTGTGAATTTATTTATCATTGGCCATAAACTTTGTTAATCCATCTACTGTATAAAACTAATTTGTAAAACTCACATTTGTGCCAGTATTAACTTTTAGCAATCAAACACATGTTTACTTGAAAGAGAATTAAATTTCAAACCCATAATTGCACGAATTTAAGTTTGTATAGCTCCAAAGCTCCTCAAATTGGATTTAAAAAGTGAGGCTTTTTTTTAGTACGAAAATGATGCTTATTACAACTACGAGATAAACACTGATATCTTACCGAACTTTATTTATCTTTTCACTTATATGAAATTCTCTTTTTAAATTGCTATATTTAAAAGCACCAAAAGTAGTATTTCAACTCTGTTCATAATTTATAAGGATCATTTTCTTGTAAGGAGTAGTAATCTACTATAAAATCATACATTTTCCTTTTATCTGTTTTGTGATTTATCTAAAGCTTGATCAAACTAACTGGTTAATACAAATAAATCTCCCATTTTGCTAGTTTAGTATGATTAGGAAAAAACATCTTATAAAAAAATTCTTATTCTCATCCAAATTCTTCAAATCATGTTTTTTTTTTCCTTTGTTTTGAGAAATTCTTCAAATCATGCTTGTAGTATATTATGTACGATTTATAAATCTTTGTTCCTACATACAATTAAAGCATGCTTTTATTCATTATTAATAAAAGGGGACAAGTATCATCCAATTGTGCTACAATAATATTAGAAAACAGTTTGAAATATTTTATACTAAAAGGAGGAAGAATTTCAGAAATATAATACAGATAATAGAATACTAAAAATATAGTATTTATATGAACCCACGTACATTGAAAATTAATTCACATTTGCCTATTCAAGTTTAGTACATGAGATATAATTTATTTAAGGTTCAATCTCTTGCCCCAATATTTATCGAAAAAATAATTAGGAAAAGGAATGACATTCATTTAACGCACTTTTGTTTTTGTATGCATAAAGATCATGCTTTAATTTAATCCTATGGCGGAGTAAAAGATTTACATTTGTCACGTTTTGCTGAAGGTGACATGGGTTGTGTTGTTATGTCGTATTCGTGAGAGCAAATTCAACCAGTTCTCTGCACTCGGTCGAATCTGGCATGTGAAAGCTCATCAGTTTCTATCTTTAGTGCGGATTGAGCCAGAAAAAACTCCTCTTTTTTAGTTTCTCTTATTGCTCTACGGACTGAACAGGGTCCACTACCAGTGATTAAAGGAGAGAGAGTAATAAAGCTCCTCTCACACAACACCACCACTTCAACATGATAAAGCATTCTAAATAAAATTTGGGATCTTTTTCCCCTTTGATTTTGATCCTTGCTTAAAAAGATGGTGGGGTATACGGCTTAAGCATTTTCTTAGTGGCTTTTGGGTGCTTTTTGCTGGGAATTTTAAGTAGAGGATGGAAAGCAAGATCGGTCTAATCTAGTTATCCCCTCACACTTCCCCGGACCCCAATCCTTATCTGTCGTTTTGTGGTTGAAAGTTGAAGTAGTGAGTTCTTTTTGCCTTAGCTTTCATTGATGCACACTATCTGTTTGTGATTTGTTCTCATCCAAAATTTATCTTTGTTCTTGCTCTGTGTCATATATATATATATGACTTCTGAGAAGATGGTTTGAAGCATAACAGAAATTGATTTGTCCTTCAAGCTCAATTAGAAAAAAAAAATGGTCAGGTGTCCTGAGCTTCTTGACCTGATCTCTAGAGACAGGGAGTGGGACTTGATTAGGAATGGTGCTGAAAGTTCTGTGAGTGAGAACAATAAGCTTGAACTCAGACTTGGACTTCCAGGAGAAGGGGGGCTTGTAGAAGGAAGCAGCTGCTTGAATAGTAACCACGAAAGTGGTGAATTGCCTCTCTCTTCTGCTGAGCTCTTTCCTTCTTGTTTGAACATTAGAAGCAACAAAAGGGCGCTCTATGAAAAAGCTGAAGGAATGGCAGAGGGTGGAATTTGGTTGAATAGAAATGATGAATTCCAACCCCACAAGTTGATTTTCTCTGAGAAAACAGCTGAGAAGGTGTCTCCTCCTACTCCATGCCCAAGTGCTTCCTTATCATCTTCAGCTTTTCAGAGGGAGGCCCAGAAGCTTTCTCTACAATCAAAATCTTCATATTTACAACACTTACTCATGCCTCAGAAATTGGACAAGGTGTCAGAGGAGGCATCAAAGTCAGGCTGTTTGAAAACAGCAGAGTTCCCATACTTAGATGGGAAATCATATCCCAACACTGTTTCAGTTCCTGCAAATTCATCTGAGCCACAACACTCTGACAAAAGGTGAGTCACCTTATCTTCTTTAATACCCTATTTTCCAATAATGCATATCAAATTGTACGTTTTAAGCGGTGGAATATCTTGTCACCAACACCGTCGCCAAAACTTTGCACCTCCAGACCATTATTACATTTTTCATCAGCCTGAATAATCTACCAACTTTCTCAACAACCTTTTTGTATAAGTTGAAATGAAACTTGGACTTATTTTTCTGGTTTAAACTGCTTTTTGAAAATTTGGAAAGTTGAAGTCCCTTTCAATGAAGTACGTTTTGTATGGATAATATTATAAGGAACTAAAAAAGGTTCTGATACAAAATTCTGCACTGCAAGTTGCAACTGACTGTTATCATGAAGCTCAGATGCTTGTTGCAGGAGAGTCTAAAAGTGACCTAGTTGATATACCAATTAAAATTTTGATATTATTGGCCTATAATTAAACCCCATCTAATTCTTGAACTAGTTTTAATTTTAAAACGAATATGAATTATAAGTTTATTAAGGAAACAAATTATGATAAGTTGCTAACTGCAAGGACTTCAACATCTTGGTAACAGGACTTCAGTTGCACCAGCCGTTGGTTGGCCCCCCATCCGTTCGTTCAGGATGAACTTGGCTGCGCCCCGCTCTTCGAAGCCCAACAGTCTTGGGTTGTCAAAAGAAACTGTGCAGGAGGATAATGGCTCAAAATCTGACTGTTGTAATGGACAAATGTTTGTGAAAGTTTGTATGGATGGGGTTCCCATTGGAAGAAAACTGAATCTCCAAGCTTATGATAGTTATGAGAAACTATCTGCTGGCATAGACGAACTTTTCCACTATCTTCTTGCATGTTATCCATCAATTCCCTGTATTCCATCAATAATTTGTCAAACACTTCATATTTCTTTTGGAGCATATCATCGCTAAAGAGTTATATATTAAATTGATATGGCTGAAAGTACAATCTGCTGGTTCTTATTTCATTCTTTCTAATTAACTACAGCACAAAGAAACTATCTGGTTGCTGAAGATGGGAGAAAGATGGAGGAAACAACATCGTTTTCTGATTCCAAACATGAAAACAGGCTGTACACTCTAGTTTATTATGATAATGAAGGGGACAGGATGCTTGTTGGTGATGTCCCATGGAAGTAAGTATTTCCCACTGCTGATCTTGTGGCCTTCTTAATCTAAGCATTTCCCTGACCAAATCCAGTATAATCTGTGGAAAAGGGTGCTTGTTTAGTATTCCTACAATTTATTTTTAATAGTTTGTTAAAATGCTTCCTTATTTTGCTATTCAGTTTCTGCAATAGGAACTCTCTTTCAGCCATCCCTTTGAGCTTTCTTTCTGTGGTGAACTTATTTGGCTTCATTTTAATGCAGCATGTTTGTTTCCACTGTGAAGAGGCTACATGTGTTAAAGAGCTCTGCCATGGCTACTACTGAAATGAAGTGACAGCTGACAGGTCTTGGCAATGTTTTAGCTAAATCTTTCAAGTTTTGGGCTGACAATAGCAGCAATTTTGAGTACTAATTGCAACAGTTTAAGTCAAAGAGTGAGAGTCAGTTGGGTTTTTCCCATGTAGATTTTTATTTTCCTACACTTTACTGATTTTTGCAGTGTTATGAAGCTGCTACTTGTAAGCGCAGCCTTGGTTCTCAAGGTTGAGGCAACTGCAGTCGTGTGTATATATTAGTTTATATTCTGTTTCTTCAGAAGTATATAAGTTTTGATTGAGAAGTTATGTTTCTGGTATGACTCAATTGAGAGAAAAGTAGTTTATTTCATGAATTGAGATATCTCCAAGGCGTCGATTGTTGGTAATATCCCCGTGCCCAAATTGTTGTCGTTGGTGAGCAAAACCAGTTTCTTGAAACAATCTAGTGTTGTCATGAGTATTCTTTGGCAGGTTTATGCTGTATATCCTGATTTTGCTGTGGAATAGGGAGGGTTCTTGATGCAATCTTGGAGTTGGTTGCTGACCATTAGGATTGATTTTGGTTCCTCGTTCCCGTGTCTCCTTTCCATGGGGCCATCTTGGTTGATCTTGGTGCAGATAAAGATTATCCAATTTATCCACAATCACATTCAAAAATTTGGCGAATCCCGTTGGAGGTTTTCGACAGCCCCTTAACCATCAACAAATGGGTGGTCGTGGATCGTGGAGAGAGGACGGTGGTAATCTCCATCTCGCCCGTGGGAGGAACAACTTTCTTTCTTGACATTCCAAAAGCCCAAGGTTCTTCGGCGCTCTGATACCGCTCTGATACCAAATTGGTGTAGACTCAATTTGGAGAAAAGTAGTTTATTTCATGAATTGAGAAATGCAAAAGAACTTCCTATTTATAGACAAATAGGCTACAACTTAAAGGCTTTAACTAAGCCGACTAAGCCTGCGAACTAATAACTGATTTCAGAACTAACTAATGTGTAGTTAGTTACATCAGTTTCACAGACAATTTGGTCACAGAAGTTCATTCATTTTGACTGGTTTACTTCAACCCAAAACACAAACAGGGGCAATAGTGTCAATTTCCCAGGACTAGAGACAAATCCCAAAATTGTACCCTTTTGGTTTTTTGGGTGTTATTTACCCGGAAAAGGACAAAGGGGCCAAAGATCAAAAAGAAAAGGAAAAACTTCATCTTCAATTTCAGTCTTAGCCGGCACAAGCACCCACAGTTCCGCTGCAATAAAGTCTATGTTCTGTATTCTACATGCTTCTTCGCGCGTCCCCTCTTCTTCGCGGCTCCCACCTGCCATTATCCTCCGGGATTCAGATGGCGCTAGCTGCCTATCTCCCTTTCTATCCCATCTCTCAGAGTTCATCTTCATGGCGATCTTCTTCGCACTTGGCTTTTGTTTTCCAACCGAATGGTTACGACCGCATTTCGGCCAAGAAATCTTTTTCACTATTCGTTCGGAGTTTCAACGTTTTATCTGGAGTATACAGTAATGTCCCAAGGCCTTGTKGAAGGATTTTCTGTGGGCAGAGAGAGTATCGAAAGGTGAGGAGGCGTCCAAAGAGTAAGAACAAGGAATTAGAGCTCAACGTTGGTATCTGTATTGAAGAAGAGCTGCCGGACGACCCAGAAATTTTGGTATCTCTCTCCCATGTACATTTTACACATCACTCGTTTTTGGGTGTTTGTTTTTGTTTTGTTTTTTTTTTTCGTTCATGACGACAGTTGGTGGCACAATGATGAGAGTAATCAAGAATGCGTTTTTTTCCCCCCAGCAATCTTGTTGCATTGTATGTGTTGCATTATTAGCAATCTTGTATGCTAATAATCAAGAATGCTTTTTTCCCCTAGCAATCTTTTTGCATTGTATGTGTTGATATTGAGCTTCTCCCAGCCGCTTAACGGGCAATTATTAGCATATGCATTCAAGACGACTATCATTTCATCTGTCAAATATGTGGATGAACATTTGTGCTTCTAGATTACGATGCTTTGACGTTAGAATCGTATTTGAGAGATTAATGCTTTAAGATATCAAACTTTGATCTGGTCAAATTTGTCAAGAATCTAGGAGTATAATGAATTTTTATGTTTGATCTCTTTTTGCATTGTTGCAAGGTTCCTTTTTGATTGACCAATTAATTCTTATAGTTTTCCATTTCTTAATGCTTCAGAGTATTGCAGAGTTGCTTCGTCTGAATGTTCCCAAGGCTCTGAAATTAGCTTTCAACAATTTGAAGGATTCAGAATACAAAACCCGAGATAGTTCAATAAATGATGTTGGTTTATTTGACAGTGTCGAGTTGTCAGTGCTACTTTGTAACGATGAATTTATTCGTAAACTTAATAAAGAATGGAGGGATGAGGATCATGCAACTGATGTCCTGTCCATGTCACAGCATGTCCCAGAACTGAAGCTTCCAATTGTAAGAACTTGAGTGCAAATGTATAAGTAGTAATGTCTTTGAGAATGATAAAAGATCGACTGATTTTGTGTCATCAGCTTATGTTAGGTGATATTGTCATTTCTCTTGAGACTGCTGCGAGGCAGGCAGAGGAAAGGGGGCATACACTCCTTGATGAGATTCGGATACTCCTGGTTTGTTACTTAGATTACCTTTTTTCCCCTCTAAACCTAAGAATTTTTGGCCCCTACATCCTTATGTTTGAGAACTACTAGCATTGCTACTATGCACATAGCATACATGCTTTTTGGGGAGTGTCTAAGAGGGCATTTAGTATGCAAGAATGGGTCCATGGGATTGGGTTTCATGATCTCCAACGCAACATATACCAATATTGCATTATTACCACCTTTCTAACCCTACATGCTTCATTTTCAAGCATTGGAAACTCATTAATGTGTATTCCAAATTTAGATATCTCATTCTAAGCAATTTTATTCTCAATTTCCCACTACTAGGCTTTCTGTTTTCAGGTTTCTTATTTCAATGTTGACCTGCCAAACGCCTCTAAAGAATTGTCTTCACTGCTAAATTAAGCAAAGGATATATAAAACAAAGAACTGTTTTTTCAAGGCAATAGGAATTAAAATGTTGAAGGATCCATTTCCTAAAAATGGAAAGTTGAATGATATACTTATTTGTTTTCACTTGATTTATGAATGTCAGCAAAAGGCCAATATTTTCCTTCCTTCACGGAAAAGAACCTTTGACATAAAACTACGTCTGTAACCAAGTAGAAAGAAAAGCACCCTAGACTAAGCGAAAGGATAACTGAAGCAACCATCTTCTTTTTTAGCCCCCTGAGAAATTTTTACTATCAAGGATTCAACAAAAGCAAAGGAAATTCATTAACGCATCGCATGGGGTTTGTACAGGTGCATGGGTTGTTACATCTTTTGGGATTTGATCATGAGATTAGTGAAGAGGCTGAAGCAGAAATGGAGAAGGAAGAGGAACTGCTTTTGAAGAGTTTAGAATGGAAAGGGAAAGGGCTCATTCAGAGTGCAATCGACGCTGAAACTAATTTAAATTCCGTTGCAGAAGTTTCAGATGGTAATTACATAGATTTATGATTCTACTAATGACTGCATCAGTGCAACCAAAAATCCTTTGTGATTACAACGAAACTGTATTATGTTCTGTATGTTTGTTACTTTTCGTATGTTGTAAGATAATCTTACTGTTGATCTGTTAAAGACAGGAAAAAAGAAGGAAGTCTTCGATTTTACCGCCCAAGGTTCAGCTACATTTTCTGTGATATGGATGGTAAGAGCCCATTTGAGGTGGATCTAAAATATTTCACGACTTCTGCTTTTGACTTGTATTAAGTGTATTTATTATTATGCAAGGTACATTGCTTAACAGTAAAAGTCAAATTACTCCAACAACTGCCAATGCTCTGAAAGAGGTCTTGTCAAGGGGTGTGAAAGTTGTTATAGCCACTGGAAAGGTAGGATCTTTTGCTTGATTGTCAGGATATTGACCTTAAAAAGCTTGTTCTTTCAGCTGTTTTTTCCATAGTCTGTTCTGTAACTCTTCACTGAATGTTTGGGTGTTTTTGTATTTATGTATCTTGTAGATTTTGTCTGCTTTTGCTTCATTTTCACAAATTTGTTAAGGAATAATGGTTAGATTTAATACATAGAGTAGGCCCGTCAAGCAGCCATAAGCATTTTGGAGAAAGCAGGTTTAGCTGGAAAAGACGGTGCTGTGTCTGAATTTTCTCCGGGAGTTTTCTTACAGGTTTCAAAATTCGCCACTTTTTTTCTTTTTTTCCTTTTTAATCTTTCTTTGCGTTGCTTTTTGAAGTTGAGTATACCTGCTTTTAGTTATTTGTTAGAAATAACCATTTACCTGAGGTGCTTTTATGTCTGCTATGCATTTCTTCATGGTCATTCAGGGAGAGAAACCCATCCATTTCCCAGAGGTTTTAGGTTTCACTAGATGAGACTTGAGAATGCTTAATGCAGAATGACTTAATGAGTTTCCTCTCATTGTTAGGGACATGTAGATGTATAACGTCTCGAATTATCAAAATCCTGTTGCTCAGCTTAGAACTTTTTTCGGTGAACACAGAGAGTCATGTCAACTGTTATTACATTTGACTGCATTGTCCATGCACAAGTGAATAAATCTATCATCCCTAACTATCAAATATATTAATTGCGCTTTGTTTTGTCATAGCTGCATGATATGACTATTCTCTCTCGAAACTTAGGAATGGTAATAAGATTGAGGAGTGATTGTGGGAGCCAGGAACCCTTTTCCTGGCGTGATTCTCCCATTCAAAAGGGTGTGGGTGTAAGGCAGGGCAGGGTCCTCTTGAATTAATAGGTCCCTTTGCCCCCAAATGAGGACTGAGTTGAAAGTTCCTTACAAGGTTACAACTAAAAGACCTTGGACACCCTTCATGTAATTTTCTTTGTACCAATCTCAATAATAGAGAAAACATTGATTTGTATATAGATTATAAAAGTTGTACAATATATTCACATCCTTTCATTGATTAATTTTAGGTAAAGTTTCATTAATAACTATACACAAATATTTATATTTTGGGTTGGGCAGGTTTTCTCTTAGTCTCCAATGTTATTCCAAAGTGAAACTAGAGAAAGTTATGTCGTAGAGTTTCTAAGTGAAGGCAAGCGCAATGAGATATTTGAAATCCTCCCTGTCCTAAGGTCCCTGCTCCCACAGGGAAGGGAGGTAATGTAGGATAGATGCAAATAAATCTCTCAAAAGCTGCGCTAGACACATGAACGCATAACCTAATCCTATACAAACCCTTTACCAAGGGAGCACTTGCATCCCACCCTATTTGAGCTCTTAAGTCCAGGAATCCCTTATTGGCATTTTTGGCCATCTCTTGCAGGAGAATGAATACTGTCATAGGGACCACCTCCTATATTCATAATTCAAGCGATATCTCATATCATTCTCCTTTCCTTTTAAAAATCTCCCTCCGAGGTGCACCCAAATGGACATGGACATGAGACCTTCAACTCCATTTACGGAGGATAGGTGTAAGTGTAACCAATTCTCCCAAAAGTCATAGTTCATTAGATAATGCACAGTATAATTTTATGCATCATTCAGGACACAGCTTGAAATATCTTCTCCAAATTTATCCCAATTGAGAGACCTTTGGGAGTTCTTTATGGACCTGTTTTGCTCTTAAAAATTGGAGGGAAATTCTAACCCCATATTCAAACAAGGCCCTCACATCGAAAAGGTTGCCTTCTCCACTCATAATTAGGTTAGTTTCTTAATGGTGTGCTATTTAATCCTTAAAAAATTTTACCAGAGTTCTAACAAGCTTGTATTCTGGTAAAAGTGAGCAAGATAAAAGATAAAGACTTAGATTGCTTTAAACTGTTTCCTTTTGCTCTTCTTCCTTTTGAAACTTCTATGTACTGTAGGAGGGTGTAATTTCTACTATTGTGCTGAAAACTAAAGAAATTTTATTAGTCTACAAGAATTGATCAACAGTTATCTATATAACAAACAAGCTTTTGTGAAGACTTCCAAAAATATTATAAAGATGTATGAAACATCTAGCCTTCATTAGAAGAAAACTAAGAATACAATTGAGGGTAATAAGTGAAGACTGAAAGTACAAAGAAAAGTTTCTCAATGAAAGCTCGGTTTTATATTAAAAAAAAAAGAAACTGTAAGAAAGAGTGGAGGTCAATCCCAGTTCACTTAAATCCTTTCCTTTTAGTTTATTTTTATGTACTATCCAAATTTTATCTTATTAATTATATATAATATTTCCTTGCTTGTAGGGACTACTTGTTTATGGTCGACAAGGAAAGGAAATTTATAGGCATAACTTAGACCAAGATGTCTGCAGAGAGGTAACGTCTCTTGCTGTTTGCTATATATATTATTACTCAGCAGTTTGAATGATGATTAAGTAATTGTTTTCTAAGATAATTCTTTGGGATTATAGTCATGTGAGCACACAACGTTCTACAATAGAAGTCTTCATATAGTGACGCTCACCAAAGAAAAATGACTCAGATGTGGGATCTTTTATCTAAGTATGGTTTGAAATTAAGAACTGGAAGATCACAGAAAATAATGGTAATTTAATGGAAAACTTCTGTAATGATCCTAATAAACGAGAGGCTTTTTAATACCTCAAGATGCTTGTTGCTGATATATAAATTTATATTTCTTTGAAATTGCAGGCATGCCTTTATTCTGTAGAGAAGAAAGTTCCTCTGATTGCATTTGGTGGAGGTCGTTGCTTAACTCTATTTGATCATCCACTTACTGATTCATTACACACGATATACCATGAGCCCAAGGTACTGGAACATATTTTTGTCACGGTTCTGAGTCTTTGATGTAGTAAAATATTTGTACTCGTAAAGGTTAGGTCACATAGCTAACTACTGTGAACTGAATTGTTTAGCCAACTGTATTTGCCTGTTGAAAAGCTAGACTTTAAAGTTATGAGCATGGTCAGTAATTATTTAGACCTTGCCAAACCAGTCTTCGTAGGTGTCATCAGGGTCAATCTTTGTAGGTGTCATCAGCTGTTAAGGCTTTTGATGTAATAACGGCCTTGGCTGATATATTTTTATAAAGGGAGCTGGTAGTTTTGAATAGCATCTGAATCTTTCCCTTGCTATAGTCTTGGTCATGAATGTAACTTCATTGATTATGTATTACAGGCAGAGGTCATGCCTTCGGTTGAGGATCTTTTGGATGCTGTTCAAATACAAGTAAGCTCTCGATTGTAGTGAGAATGCTTCCCTCTCATTTGATAGTAAAGGAAGAATTGAGGAATGGTTCAGAATAAAAGTTGCCCATTCTATCAAAAAATGTGAAGAATCCTAGTAATTGGCTATGAGTATTGTAATTAAGGAGGATTTAGTTCCCATAGGATCACGTAGGGAGCTTGTGCATGTTTTAGATTAACATCTTTTACACATTTACAGAAAATTATTTTCTTGGACACTGCCGAGGGAGTTTCACACATCCTACGGCCATACTGGTCAGAAGCATCAGGAGAACAGGCCACGGTTGTTCAAGCTGTACCGGACATGCTTGAGATTGTCCCCCATGGAACCTCAAAAGGTAGTGGAGTAAAAATGCTGCTCGATCATTTGGGTGTTTCTGCTGAGCAGGTACTGTAAAGTTGCCCCTATGGTCTTGTTCTAAATAATTATGAAAAAAAAAAAAAAGCTTCTTTTATCACAAAAATTATGTTTTTCTCTTTTTCTTTCCCTTATTTTGTTTTTTTTTTTCCATTGATACCCTATTGATATGTAAATATCCTGTACTCTACACCAAATTGACTAAAGGTCACTAAATGTGTTCTTATAGAGGGAAAAAAAGGTTATATTTCTTCTCAACCATCACACAGAAAATTAGGAAAACTAAGAAAATTCTGAAAGCACTCCCCCCCAATTTGATTGCTAAAGAAATACCAAAACCAAAAAAGAACTAAAGCTACTTCTTTAGGGAGATCTCATGATCTATCAAACTGATGAAAAAGCTTAGTAATGATTTGAACCATTACTGATTTTACTTCAACCGGTTACCCTGTCTGTTGGGTGATAACAAACGAGGCACTTGACTCATGGATTGGGTTTCTATAGCATTAAGAAACTCGAGCCTATGTTTGGTATATGGACTTGCCCATCTCATATTATAAGTTTGCTAGTCTTATGACCTACGTAGGCCCATATTGTATAATGTAAAGCTTTTAAATTTCACATCTTAAGCCAACATACTAACTTTTATAAATTTCAAAAGCACAGGTTAGTGCTACGTGAACTCAAGCTTTTAAACCACATTTCAGTACAATCGAAGCAATGTTATTCAAATATAAGCTTTCAAACCTTAACCTACGCATACTGTAATAGTGTAATATGATAATCCGGGAAAGAAAGTACCAAGTCTTGGACTATTTGAGATGTCTGAGTCTCTTCTTTGACGGATTAACTACACAACTATGAACTCCCTGCTTACATCATCTATTTCCTACTTCTCCTAACAACCTAAGGGAAGAGCCACACTGCCCTGTACAAAAGATACCATTCCCTGTCAAAAAACTAAATTATCATGCTGAACAATAGCTTCGACCTTGCCTACATGAACTTAATTGGAGGTTTACTAATCCTATCAATCTCCATTATGAATCTACTGGAAGTAGAAAGATTGATGGTACCTTTAAGAAAAAGAATGTTATGATTACGTCTGAATCTATAATCCATAACTTTAGTACCCTTCTGTTATCCTATATGCAAATGTACCATCATAATTGAAGAATCTTGCTGACTGCTGACAATGAAAGTTCATTCATATACATGCATGATCCTGTGCTTGCTGACTACTGGAACTCAAATTGTGCTTGATTATGTAGGTAATGGCTATTGGAGATGGGGAAAATGACATTGAGATGCTCGAGCTGGCATCTCTTGGGATTGCTTTGAGCAATGGCTCGGAGAAAACTAAAGCTATTGCTAACATAATTGGTCCCAGCAACGACGAAGATGGCGTTGCAGATGTCATATATCGATACGCATTCTGATCCGAATTTTCTGTCCATCATTGTGATTAAAGGATGCAGATTCTGCCGTCAACGTATTCTTATCTCATTATCTCTCTCAATGGAGCCAAAATGAGAGAATTTTTCCATTGAGTAAAAAATGCTAAATTTATTAGCGTGTAGGTGTTTGAAGTTTTATAGCTCTATACACAGAATGTCAACGTGTTAAATTACTGCTAATCCCTCATTATTTATTGGTCAAGAGTTACCAAATTTTTTATCCTCTTGTTTTCATATGAATAAACTTCTATTTCTATGTGCTCAATAAGTGGACTGATGACATGGAGAGAATAGATGTGTAAATTGAATTTAAGTTTTCCTATTTGATATCATGTTCAATTAGTTTTACAATTCTCCTATTTTGGGGGAGAAGTTGAAATAACATAGGAAGAAAAGCTATATTAGCGAATCGAGTAAGATTTTCTTGAAGGGAGCAACTTTTAATGAAGTACACCGTCCAAGCGATTGATCTAAGTTTGGTATGAACATTATTTATGTGGATTCATTTTCAAACAAAGCACTAAAGAATTGTCAAGTAAACCTAAGTATTTGCCAATCTCCTCTACTCAATTTCAGTCTTTTGTGTTGGGGTTTAAAATTTCAAAATCTCTTATTTTCAATCAAATTTAACCCTGAGTAGACTTTTAGAACTTTTCAGACTTGATCTTAGACCACGACCACTTTATTCTCTTGTTTTCATATGAATAAACTTCTATTTCTATGTAGCTCTCACGAATTTTGCTGGGAATGAAATGGGGGCGGGGAATAGAAAAAATTTGTACTGAAGAGTAGGCAGTAAAGTAAAAATTACATTTTGATTTTCAATACCTGGTCGGATGCTATTTGAATCTGAAGCTGTTCCTCAGTCCAGGAGCTCGGTCTGCCAATTCGCCGATCCGCCTAATCATCCTGGCTGTGCTTCACGACTACAACCACCGCAAAATCGTCCACCTTCTTCTAAGATGCGCCGCCCAGCTGACAATGCGTCAACTCTACGAAATCCAAGCCCAAATCCTTGCCTCCCCCATCCCCTCCATCGACCCAAATCTCATAGCCGTCAAGTTCATCGGTGTTTCTGCGTCCCATGGCAACCTACGCCATTCTGTTCTCATCTTTAGTCACTACCTTACCTCTCCAAACATCTTTGCCTACAATGCTCTTCTCAAAGCCTTTGCTCAGCACAACGCTTGGCACAGTACTATTGCTTACTTCAATAACCAGTTGATATTGCCTGGTGCTCCAAACCCAGATGAGTACACCTTCACTTCTGTGCTCAAGGCCTGCGCTGGCCTTGCCCAGGTGCTCGAAGGCCAGAAAGTCCACTGTTTTATGACTAAATATGGCTGTGAATCGAACTTGTTTGTTCGGAATTCTCTTATCGATTTGTATTTTAAGGTGGGTTGCAATTGTATTGCCCAGAAGCTGTTTGATGAAATGGTTGTGCGAGATCTTGTTTCGTGGAACACTTTGATTTCAGGATATTGTTTTAGTGGGGAGGTTGGCAAAGCCCGGGTGGTATTTGATGGGATGATGGAGAAAAATTTGGTGTCCTGGTCGACGATGATCAGTGGCTATGCAAGGATGGGTAATCTAGAAGAAGCACGCCATCTATTTGAGATTATGCCCATGAGGAATGTTGTCTCGTGGAATGCTATGATCGCTGGATATGCACAGAATGAGAAGTATGCAGATGCAATCGAGTTGTTCAGGCAAATGCAGCACGAAGGTGGCCTGGCGCCGAATGATGTTACGCTAGTTAGTGTGCTTTCAGCTTGTGCACATCTTGGAGCACTTGATCTGGGGAAGTGGATTCATAAGTTTATAAGACGAAGCAAGATGGAAGTAGGTCTGTTTTTGGGGAATGCATTGGCTGACATGTATGCAAAGTGTGGATGCATGTTGGAGGCCAAGAGGGTGTTTCATGAAATGCAGGAGAGGGATGTAATCTCGTGGAGTATAATAATCATGGGGTTGGCCATGTATGGATATGCAGATGAAGCATTCAGTTGCTTTGCTGAAATGATTGAAGATGGTTTGAAGCCAAATGATATTTCCTTCATGGGCTTATTAACAGCCTGCACTCATGCTGGGTTGGTAGATAAGGGGCTGAAGTATTTTAACATGATGGCTCAAGTCTACGGTATTACTCCAAAGGTTGAGCATTATGGCTGTGTTGTTGATATGCTTAGTCGTGCAGGGCGTCTCGATCAAGCAGAGTCTTTAATCAAATCCATGCCTGTGAAGCCTAATGTTATAGTTTGGGGTGCACTGCTTGGTGGCTGTCGGATATACAAAGATGCAGATCGAGGAGTACGCATCGTTGGTCACATACTTGAATTAGACTCCAACCATTCTGGAAGTCTAGTTTATCTAGCTAATGTCTATGCTTCAGTGGGCAGGCTGGACGATGCAGCTAATTGTAGGTTGAAAATGCGAGACAACAAGTTGATGAAGACACCAGGCTGCAGTTGGATTGAGGTCGACAACTCGGTCCATGAATTCTTCATGGGAAACTTGTCTCATCCTCAGTCTGCAAAAATTTACTCAATGATTAGAGAATTGAAGTGGAAGATGAAATTAGCAGGATATAAACCAAAGACTGATCTTGTGATCCATAATATAGATGAGGAAGAGAAGGAGGATGCTCTTTCTACTCATAGCGAGAAGCTTGCCATTGCATTTGGACTTATCAGTACCAGTGAAGGAACTACAATTAGAATAGTTAAAAACTTGAGAGTTTGCAATGACTGTCATGATGCAATAAAGATAATCTCGAAAATCGTTGAGCGAGAAATTGTAGTGCGAGATCGCAGTCGTTTTCACCATTTTAAAAATGGGAAATGTTCTTGTAATGACTACTGGTAATCTGGGGTTGTACAGCAATGACAGTATGCAGCATTGATTTTTCAAGAGAAGAGTTACTTTTTGCACATTCTATTATGTAAATGGGTGGTTGGAAGCGAACACTGTTGCCACATTTATAGTTCCAAAAGACAACACCGGATTAGACTCACTGATTTTTGTTCCCAAATTCTTCTCTATGTTCTGATAGCTCTTTCATGTAAGGAAAATACTTCTACGCATTATCAAATGCCACAAACTTGGGAATTTTATCATTTCTTTTACTATTAAATATTTATTTGTAATAATACATTTTGTTTATATGTTGACAATCATGGAGTTTTTTGTTGTGTGGATTAGAAAAGACTACGAATATGTAGCTGAAAGTGAAAACTGGAGAAGTTGTAACGATGCCTTGCATTGTATATATGTTGAAGAACAGAGAAAAAAGGGAAGCATTAGGAAAACAAATGGATGACAAGACACTTGAATGAATATTATCATTTAGTAATTGTTTACATCTCTCAGAGACAGATGACGATGACGCTACGAAGTAATGGAGATCATTTTTAAGCTTTGTACTAATACCACAATAGCTAATTATCAAAGCAGATCAACTCTTATATACACCAGTGGGCTCTGCATTTTGGACAATCCAAGGGTGTTCAAGAACTTTGTGCAGTGGCAGCCGTTGAGAGCAATCTTTGACAAGCATCTACGTATAAAGCAACAAAGCAAAACAGTATGTTCACTTAATATGGCAAAGGATACATAGACCAAACATATTGACCATATCGAACAACTATAATACCTTACTGATAAGGTCCTTTGCAGTCGAAGAAATGATTGGTTTTGGAGGAAACTTCAAATCTACTTGCACGATTCTGCATATATTACCACATAAAACTATGTCAACCATGGAGAGACCTGGTCCTATTTAAAAAGATTTAGTTTAAAAGCTTCAATAAAATCTACCTCCTGTATGTGTCAGAGTGTTCCTTAGCCTCAAATGGGGGTAACCCATAGAGAAACTCATAACACAGGACACCAAGGCTCCAGATATCCACACTTGCATCGTGCTCCACACTCTCCACTGTCAAGAACAGTAACAAGTATATTAAGGGAAAGGTAAACGGCTGCTCTGATAGTACAAAATTTATAATTCCTCTTTAGCTCCCAAATAAATTTCTCCCTCTTCTATAGCAGAAAGTAGCTTCAGATACTTTAAAGAAAAACAAGCACTTCGGCCAGGGGTCTTAATATACATACCCATTTCAGGAGGCAGATAATCCAATGTCCCACACATAGTTCGTCTACGGTTAAATGTGTGCACTGACCATCCAAAATCTGCTATCTTGAGTTCGCCCTGTCAAAGGAATGCCTCATAACTTAGTCCCAAAGAAATCTAATACCTAGGACTGAGAACCTCAACATTTAATGAAGCCAGCACACCTGGGCACCAATTAGAAGATTTTCTGGTTTGATGTCTCTGTGGATTACATGTTTTCCATGACAGTATATGAGTGCTCGAGCCAATGACGCAACGTACTGCCTCATGTACCAGAAATTTAAAACGTGGATAGAATCAGGTTAAGAGTGCACAGTAAATTTTCAAATTTTTTGCTTCTCATCCCCCTTCCCACTGAAAAGATAAATTTGCCATGATATATCTGTTCTCGTGCACTATCTTGGAATTTAAAAGCCTACTTATATACTGTAACTGAAGTTAAAAGAAAAACCCACGCCATAGAGAGAAAAACTTACAGTAGCAGCGCGTCTCTCACTGAAGTACTTGCACTTCTGTAGCTCCTTGTATAGCTCACCTCTGGGCGCATATTCCAATACCAAATAAATCCGTTTCTGCAGGAACCACATTTAAGGAGTGGGAAAAGGTCAGTGGCAGAATATTTCAGTGCACATTTTTCTAATTATTGGATGATTTATTGTAGAAACTTTCTCAGAGAAAATATAAAATACTTGGTCGTAGAAGTATCCATAAAGGCGCAGAATGTTGGAGTGTCTAAGATGACTCTGTATTTCAACTTCCCGACGAAGCTGGTGCTCAACCTGCGACTGTTGTAACTGGCTCTTGAATAGAACTTTCAGTGCCACAATGTGATTACTCTGTTTAAGACCAAGTAAACACATAAATTATGAGTAGAAATGGTTCAACAGACAGTATTTCCTACCAATTGTTTGCAAGATAGATGATCTTCTCAGGGTAATAACTCTTAAAACCGATATAATTTTACAGTCTTAGTTAGTGTCTGGTCTCTGATGGAACATAACTTTCTGATAAACTATACGGTTTAGGAACCAAGACCAAAAAAGTATAAAAAACTGGCAGATTCTTCAGATGCGCTTTTCTTTTAAAATGCTAGGTGAAAATATTATAAAGAACTGTAAGATTCTCTCTGTTATTCTTAAAACCAAACTCAAGAGAACAAAAAATTGGGGAAATCAATATTGTTATGACTTTGAAGGCAATTATTTATTCTTACTTAATGAGATCCATAAAACCAATCTAATATGTTTCAGTCCCAAGTCTCTCAATGAGCTGAAGATTTTAAAGATGTTTAGAAATCACAAAGCTTACAGAATAACGAAAATCATGGAGCACGTAAAATTGAGAGAGTGAGAATGTAAAACGAACCCTCTTTTCTCTAGCCAGATAGACATGCCCGAACTTCCCTCTTCCGAGAGGCTTTCCAATGTCAAAGTCGTTAAGCGTCCATCTTCTCTTTTCGACAGCAGAGGCTTCCGTAGTGGTAATCTACAAAAACATTTAGCATTCAAATTTCTATGATTTTAAAAAACGATTCACCTTCCTGGGAAAATAGTCAACTATCAAACGATTATTTGAAACCCTAGTTATCTGATTTATTCACTACAGACTCACAAACTAACATCAATAATCCGTGATAGTAAAAGCCGATAAAATCCCTAAGAACGAAATTAAAACCAGAAGATATCTTTGGTATTCAATTTCTTCCTCGATTACCAAAGAGAGCACAAGAAATAAGAAGCGGAGGTTTAATCGTGTCTATAAGCGCCTCAGAAACTGAAAATTATTTGTAGTTTCAAACAAGAAAAATATAAAAGATCATGGACGCGGTATACAAGAGAGAAAGAAAAACGAAATTAATGACTTAATAATCCTAATCTTGGAGCAGATGAAAACGAAACCACAAAAATCACAACAAAAAACATGATATAATAAAATTTCCGTCATTTTTACCTTCTCCTGGGGTTGGTTCTCTGCAGCGATCGCCATACGAAAGAGAGGGAGGGAGAGAAGAGAGAAGCGATCGAATGGCGAGGGGAGACAGAAAGAGAGGCGAGGAAGACAATTGGAGCGAGATGGAGGTGTAAGAAAAAGGTATGGAACTTGGCAACGGTCGAATTCAAATGGGCTGCCACGTGGCCTATGCCGCTCAGTGAAGTTTTTCAAAAAAATTTAGAATTAATGCTGTACACCAATCATAAAGTCGTCTACAGTATCCCCACGTGAAGATGGCTCCATGTAACGGTCAAATTTTTAGGAAAAAGGATAAACGGTAAACTACAACTGCATGTTACATTCCTCGAATTATTTTACTTAGTACTAATGTCATAAGATATATCAACCAAAGATTCAAGTTATGTTTTCACAAAACTTTAGTTTAAAAAATATTATTCGAATAAGATTGTATAAGCATTTATGTTGATAAATACATTCTAGAATGCTAAAATTGTAGTTGACTAATGAAAAGTGTTTATTAAATATTAAAAGCACTTTTCAAATTTTCTTGATGTTTCCCCGCTTTTTGTAAATAATAAAAATTTTAGAAACGCTTCAAAGCATTTTAATGAGTATTTTGTTGGGAGTACTCCAAAAGATGCCGTTAAAAAACCATTCTCAAACTCATCTTATGCTCTCTAAACCATGTTAAATGTTTAAAGAAAAACAATCGATTTCTCGTTTCTCCTTTTCAGCTCAAATCTTTATACTGCTTTGCAATATCTCTTGCTACAAAAGTTACATACGTAAGAGAAACTAATTCAACTTCTAAACATCTAATCTCCCAACCTAACATAGACTCACAAACTGAATGAATGATTAATATAATTTGTTTTCTTAACAAAAGAAACAAAAGAGAACCAAAATCTTGATACTAAACCAAAAGTTTACATATCTTCTTTCTCGGGATCCATTATAAGGAAATCCTCGTTAGACAAGGCAGCTTGTTAAGCAGAGCAGACGGTTGCCAGTCTACTTCAATAACTTCTCCATCCAGTTACCTCTGAAATGTTGCAGAAGGTCTTAGATAACCAATTATTTAAGAATTCTTGGAAGAATGATGATTAACTGATCCTTGAGTTTGGTTAGCCTTTAGCAGCCATGACGGTAGACGAGATGGGATGATGAATGACAATATCAAGCAGATTATAACCAAGATTGCAACCCCCCAGGCTTTGTGCGGGATGCCTACAAGTAGTTCGTCACAAACTGCCAGAAAGCAAGAAAATATCATACTGATGAATGAGACATTAGATGTTGCTGTCAAGCAAGCAAATGACAGTATGACTCCAGCGTAAGAAAGGGGCAGGAGGTAACAGGTCTTGGATGCTAGCGGTGAAACAGCAATTAAGGACACACCCCATTCCTTATCATTAGAGAGCTACATGTTCCTTCAAATGTAATTGTGTACGTCTCTTGGGCTAAGATGGGCCATCCTACCCTTAATCCCCCTTTTGCACGTTTCTTTGAGTACATGTAACATGTGCCATAAGCATAACTACATACTTCTTTTTCTCAAGCTAGTTTAACCAAGAGCTCCTTCAGCACTCACGTTCAGCACATTATATATTTACTGAGCAAGTCTTGAAAAATAAATATTTGCTTCTTCAATCATGCATGGAGTAAATTTTTGCGGTTTCATGCATATAATTTAAGTTTCTCTTTCCAATTCCATGTCAGAATCACTCATTGTACAATTTTTAGAATTTACACCAAAAGTTACTAACTCAAAATAAAAAACTTGGACTGTAAACCACAAGTGTTCAACTGGCAAATTCTAGTTGATCTGAAGTTCACATCTCACCCAGTATCTTAACAGAAAAAAAAAGTGGCTGCAATTCAATACAAACCAAATAGATAGAATATATTAAAAAAGAAGATAAAAGGATAGAAAAAGTGAAAAAACTACAATAATCCCCGAAGTAATTCGAGGTACTTGGATCCTCCCACTCTAGCACATTCCTACCTTCATCCCTTCTCTCGTGCTCTATTTATAACAATTCCCTTCTAACCAATTCCTTAATTAATTACTAATCGATCCTCACTATTCTATTATATCCCTGATTACCCAATGGCATTCCTATCATAGCTATAAAATAAGTCAGTCAGAAGAAAAATGATTCAATACTCAAACATTAAATATGAAGGTTTGCCATATGGTAGTGGGAAAAAATATAAGATACCTATATTAAAGATGAATGACTCCCTTTCCTGGACGGATGGTATGGCAACGACTCCCTCAGACTTCACAGTGACCAATATATGCATATCAACCTGTTTCAGAACTGTAAGTGAAAGTTTAACAATTTTAGCAATCAAAACCTACAATTATTTATCCAAAATAATATGGGAAGAAGAGAACCTGATCACCCTGCAAGTTTATGCTTTCTGTCCTAAAAATAAGCTTTTCAGTGTCAAGTAGTTTTCTGCTCTGCTTCTCAACGGGGCTTCTCAAGTCTCTCTTTAGCTCTAATGAAAAGCTAGCAGGAATCTGTTGTTCCTCTTGAATGAGACAATCTCAGAAAGAGAGATGACAAATTGAACTTTAAGAGGACAGAAAACACATACAGAGCCTGGATATGATATCTTCACTTCATACCACGTATCAGGTTTGAGTCCTTGAAGGTGGTAAAGACGAGAACCCATTTGTAACGGTAACGTTTCCCTCCACAGCTCCTCTCCAACGTTTAAAACTTTACTATCAACTCTATAAAATAATGAACAAACCAATACAATAACTATGGTGAAAGGATATGTATGCAGTATGCTTGATCATGCAATTGAGAAATGGGGGATAGAGTTTTCGTGTGCTCACATACTACTCAGGCAGAAAGTTGGCCATTTCAAAATGATGACGAGAACGTTCAAAAGAACAAATAGATATCGCTGGTATGAATGACACATTTATTCCAATGGACAGCAAATTATCTTCAACTTCCCCAACCTGCCACGGAACAATTTTCCAATTACAATTTTTCAATGATATTCAAATAATTGATAATTTAGTCACAAACAAAACATAATTGGATGCCCTGGAAGTATAAACAGTTATAATCGAAAATCATCCTTCCCAACATCAATGTAAAATCAGACTTACACAAAACATAAAATTAAAGAAATGAAAAATCGAAATATCATACAAATTAAATCTAACCAGTTGGAGGAGAATGAAGCAAATACTCCAGGATTGTGGGGGCGAGGGCTGCGGTCCTGTGACGCTGAGAGACGAGAGTAAGAGAGCGGGTACCGAGGAGAGGAGGTGCTGAACCTGTGGAACTGAAAGTAGGGCTGGGTCCTCGGAATTTTCTTAATTTAATCCGTAGATAATTTAATTAATTAATTACTTATCAATCTAAGCATATATATTTCCATAAGCATGTTGTTAATATTAAAGGAAAAAGAAACAGGGAAACTTGGACAAAAAAATTAGGAAAATTAGTAAAATAGCAACTATATTTTGATTTTTCAAATATAACATTTTTATTAGAAAATAAACGAAGGCCCACATATTAAATGACAATATTGTCGTGTAGGCCCAAACCCAAGTTTAGAAAACCCTACATTTAGATTTCCATTTGATATAAATGTGATATATTAGTGATATGAGTGTATGTGAGCGCTGATATACTACTAATATGAGTGTTTGATATGTTACTGAAATGACTGTTTGATATACTACTGATATGATTATCTGATATATTATGATTATCTGATATATTATTGATGTAATAGTTTGATTTACATATGATATATCGTTGATTTTACTTCTAACAAAATAATGAAATATGGTATTTTAATGCAAAAGTGCAACAATATTCAAAATTAGAATCAATAGATAATATTATCGAGATGCTAGCACCAACCTAAATAGAAATATTTACAAATGGATCATTTAGACACTTTATGTTATTTAATATTAGGAGATGTCCACTACAATTATTGGTGCATTTAATTTGTCGAATATTTGAAAAGAGCCAACTAAATGCACTAATATTCAATCTAAATAAGAACTTGATTATAAATTTAAACGGTTTTAATGAATACCCTAATACTGACCAGATTAAGGTGTACATCATATGTATGTATATCAGGGGTACGTTAGATATATATCAGATATATATCAGAGTTACATCAGATACATATATACCTAAGATATAGATTAAATATATATCATATATCAAAAGGATAAAATCGAAATAATAAAAAATTCAAAAATAAAATACAAATATTTTACTATATTTGAAAATGTGAAAAAATGGTCCCATTTCATGAAATACATGAAATATTTTTGTTACACGCCGATTAAACCTTAATTTACTTTCAATCTCTGTTTCATTGTTTTTTTGTTTTGAAATCACAACCCTACTTCATTGTTATTTTGCAGCTGTCGTTGGTTTTGCTTTTGTCTTTTTCTCACTACGGTTGTAAAAAAAAAAAAAGAGGGGAAGCAGAACTGAACGCCGAACGGCGAACACGTCCGAAACCTCAAACTTCTGAAGAAAACCAAGTTTCGCGGGCTAAATGTAAAAGCAAAAATCTGGGTGGATCAACACCGCTTCCAGTATTTCGAAAAATGGTAGAGTCGTTTCGCGATTCTGAAATTCATAAACATTTAATCGATTTGCCATTTGCAAAGTTCGAATTATTATTCTTATTCTTGTAACTTCAACTTTTGTGTTTCAGTTTTCAATCTCTGCTATCAATGATACGGACTCCAGAAATCAGTGGGAGCCCTTAGCTCCCACTAAAGAGGCTCAGGCATGCCCTCCCTCCCTCTCTTTAGAGATTCTTGTTTATCAGTAAGCTTAAATATCGTTTACATCTGTAGTTCACAAGGGGAGAAAATTGCCTTTACACTTGGGAGCTTATGTGAGTAGATAAAGGATGCGTTTCCAAAAATGATTGCATTTTTCTTTTTCTTTTTTGGTAATCAACATAAATGCAAGTTGATGGTCGGTCTCTGATGTTGATTAAAATAAAAGATCTCCTCGTTAATCACAATGAGTCAGTCTAATTGCGCAAGTTTTGAAGAATGACGATGTTTTCTGACTTTGTTAAGCAAGAAGTGTGGTGTATCTAAGATTCAATCATTATCTTGATTTTATCTGCTCAACTCAGGAATTCCATCTAACGCAAACTTACCATGACGGGCTTCTTAAGCTACAAGCAAAAGAATATGAAAAGGCTCGTGAATTGTTAGAATCCGTTCTCAAAGATCAGTTGATAGCATCTGCACAGGTATGTCTCTCTTAAAGGTTCACAGAGCTAGATGGAGAATCGTGTTTGGCATTTCTGATTGATCTAATTATGTAGGTTGATGGTGAAGCTGGTGATAATCATCTACTGCAGCTCAGGTTTTACATGCCATCTTTTATACATGTTTGCAAACGTTTTAGGTTTCATTAGCATTTTATGGTAGCCTTCTCTACTGAGACTTGTGATTTTTAACGTCTTCATTCCATGACCAGTGTAAACTGACGACCATAGCACCTTTTAATCAGCATACCACGCTGCAAATTTCCTCTCATTTTTATTTTTGGAATTTAATTTTAGAGTAAGCTATTGTTAAGGTGGATTGAAGTCTTATTCTTTGATTCATACTACAATCCTCAGGCCTCCACTGATTGAAGGAAAGAATAAGAATGTAAAATAACTGTCACTTTTGTTTGGTTCCAGGAGCTGTGGGTTTGTGTTAATGCTTTTGTGTTGCAGCCATGCCTGCGAAATGTTACTTGAAGATTCATGTTTAGCATTTAATATATGCAAATCAAATTGGACCATTGTTTAGACATACAAGATTAAAGGATAATTGTTTGATAATTTCCTACAGTGCAGTGGCTGTTGGATTATTTTGGTTATTGGATGCTATTTACACCGGTTCACTTCTTTTTAATTTTTCTCAAATGGTCTTTTGCAGATTCTTAGCACTTAAGAATCTTGCCACTGTATTTCTACAACAGGGATCTGCACATTATGAGGGTGCTCTGCGTTGTTATCTTCAAGCTGTGGAAATTGATACTAAAGATTCTGTTGTTTGGAATCAGCTGGGAACTTTATCTTGCTCTATGGGCTTACTTAGTATTTCACGTTGGGCATTTGAGCAAGGACTTGTATGCAGTCCTAATAATTGTGAGTAGTTTTTTGGTCTGTCAACATATTTCTTTCACAGACATGGTACTAAATGTTCTATGGATTGTTGTTGTAAAGGGAATTGCATGGAGAAGCTACTGGAAGTTCTAATTGCCATACGTGATGAGGTTGCCTGTCTTTCTGTAGCAGAACTGATTTTGAGGCACTGGCCATCACATTCTCGTGCTTTGCATGTCAAATGTACAATTGAAGAGGTGGAGTCTGTTCCATATGCACCCAAAGGTATTGATAAGCTAGAACCAAAACATGTCCGGCTCAAATTCATTGATAAGAGGAAGGCTAGTAAAGAGGATCTTAATGAAGATGTCAAAATTAAAAGGTCAAATCAGAATATAGATTTCCATCTAGCAGAAGTTTCCTGGGTAGGCCTTGTTGATGCACTTCTAGATATCTTACATCCATTGAGCGGCTGTGGGTCTGAGATGGAGGTTGAAAAAGTGCTTAGATCTGGTGATGTTAGATTAAAAATATGCATACCTCCCAGTTCAGATCGTAGTTGTGCATCTATGGAGAGGAAAGAGATTACTTATACCTCCACTTGTGAAAATGCCTCTCTTGCAGATTCTAACACTGAAAGTTCATCTTCTTTTAAAGAAAAAGAGGCAAGTGGTTTGGACGAACATCCACAGGAGAGACGTAGTACACGTCTTGAAAGGCTAAGAAGTCGTAAGCCCGGAAAGGAAGAATTAGATTATTCAACAGGCAAGGATCTTGCCAGGGTTGTAACTCAGTATCTTGAACCCTTTATTTCCAGTGGATCAGGAACCAAAGATACTAACCATGATACCAGGAATTCTGCTTCCTATCCTGATCGGGAGAATACATGGGATTCGGACTGCAATGATGTTCACACTTTTTTGGTAGAAACTTCATGTAATTATGGTGCTTACCATGTGAGTCATTTGCTTTTAGAAAAGCTTTCAAGCACATATCCTTCATACCAGGATACGTTTGTCAAATTTCTGGACTTGGAAAAGTTAACAAGACGTTGGGGAAAGGACAGGTCTCTTGAATGCAATCTTTTCCTTGCTGAGCTCTATTTTGACTTCGGGTCATCCTCTTCTGACACTTCCAAGCAAACTGAATTCATGTCAGAGGCTTCATATCATCTTTGCAAGATCATTGAATTAGTAGCCCTGGAATATCCCTTGAATTTGAGTTCTGTACCAAAGGGTGATAATTGCTCTAGCAGTCTTCAAGGTGCCAGCAGCATATCATCTGGAAACTCTACTAACCAGCATTTATTTGTTGAAAATTCACTTTTAACAAGTAACAAAACCTTCTGGGTAAGATTCTTCTGGCTAAGTGGGCAATTATCGTTGCGGGATGGAAACAAGGTAAAAGCCTGTGAAGAGTTCTGCATCTCTTTATCTCTTCTGGATAAGAAGAATGACGTGGATGATTCTCTCTCATTGGTCTGCCTCCCTCACTGTCGGGTCTTGAAAAGGTTAACCTTGGATAGAATACTTTATGAAATTAATGTTTTAAAGCTTGACCTCTTGATGGAGAATGCTGTACCTGAAATGTTTGAGAAAGAAATGTATGTGGAGTGCATCCCTTTACTCTCTCCACTTCTATTTGGTGTACAGGAAGTCGACCTTGATGCTTTATCCTTACAATTTTCGGGAAGAAAAGATGCAGGGATTACTTCGGTAGAACTTGCAGCGATTGATGTTTTAATCAAATCATGTGAGAAGGCAAATCATTTGGATATCAAGATATATTTGAATTCTCACCATCGGAAGCTACAAATACTCATGGCAGCTGCTGGAATGCATGAATACTTTACATCCTGTAAATCTTTTGTTCAGAAGTCAGAGGCAAAAGCACTTTCTGATGTAGAACCGAAGGATAGTCCAAGCAGTCACTGGAACCATCTAGTTGCAGAAGAAGTAAAAGCAATATCTCAATGTATATCACAGATAAAGAATTCCGTCGAACATTCTGGAGACTCTGTAAGCCAATATTTATTTTCTTAGAATAAGTGTACTTTGTTGTTATCTTTTCACGTACTAAGTGAATCTTTCATTTAAAATTGAAAGATTGATAAAGCCTCTTGATGACTTATTTTATAACTGTATGGTAAATCCACTTAGTCCTACATTAATATGTATATTGTAAAGGAATCAAGCACAAGTTGCTGTTTTAAATGCCACACTTCGTGGGGAAACTTACTGTTCCTGTTTCTATCCTGTCGTTACAAGTCCTCTTCCTGGGTCCAAACAGAAGTGAAAGGAGTAAATAAAAATAAATTAAAAGTATACTTTGTAAGATTTTCCCCCAGTAGTAGATTGGAGCATAAGATATCTTATCCTGTAATATTTTTTGGGTTTGAATAGTTTGGTCCCAACTTTCAAATATTTTATTTGTCCTTGAACTTTACATAAAAATTATTTTAGGCCTTTGTAATTTTTTTCACCTACCAGAGTGCATTCTTCACCTTTTTTTTTTTGAGATAGTGCGTTCTTCACTTAAAATTAGATTTTACTAATAAAATGTATCATTTTTAAGGAAATAATATGAAAATAATTGTTATTAATAGAAATTTGGTTCAATAAATAATATGAAGATACTCAGATTGTTAAAGTGACTATAATGCGCATCGTAAAATTAGGATATTGATTTTCCTTTTGTACATGAACCAACCAATTTTCTGGAAGCTTTGTTTTTTTTAATATTTTTTAAAATAAGAAACGGAAGTGTATTAGACACAAAAGGAGCTAACAACATAAGGGCAAAGGGTGGAGGTCACCCTCTCCCAAAGGAACTATACAATGATAGCTTTCCAATGGTTGATAATCATAGTTAGACTATAATTACAAAAGAATTTGTCATGGTTAACACACCACCATGAAGACAAATGTTGAACACTATCACAAGAAGAATCAAAAGAAGAAAACTTATCTTCAAACAATTACTATTTCTTTCTTCCCAAAGCAACCATAGCATCGCACGGGGCACACAATTCCAAAGGATCTTAGCTCTACATCTTAGCCATGAGCCTGCAAAAAACTCCACCATCCCGTCATCCACCTTGTAAGGGGCACAAAGGGAGATGCCAAATTCCAAGAGAACAAAAGACCAAACTTTTTGGGCAAACGAACAATCCAAGAATAAATGGTCAAGGGTTTCCTCTTTTGAAGAACACAAGGAGCATTTCGAGGGGGGAGGGACCATGAGGGAACCTTCTTTGGACTTTCTGGAAGGAAATTTTAAACTCCACTTGCTTGAAATCATACCCTTATAGCAGCAATAGATTGTAGTTTTTGGTTTTCAATTTCTCTTACTGCATTAGGGAACTTTAAGCACGTTGCTTTTGGATTTTAAAATTTTTAGTATATTTTTTTGCTAACGTTTGAATTAAACTTGCTTATAAGGTACGAAGTTAACAGTAAAAGTTCACATAATGTTAACAGTAAAAGTTCTCATAATGTATTCTTAATGCTTTTGTTGTCTGCTCTCTTCGCTTTTAAAACATAGTACATTCTCATTACCACAATTGACTATTGTTACGCTTGCAGAATGACATTCAGACGAGGAGCATTTGTGATATGCAGTTCTTGCTTTTATCGGTTATATGTAATGTTATAAACATATTCCTCAGCAAGAAGTCTTCTGGGGCAGCAATTCCTGATCAAGTTGAAAGATGCTGCCTTGTAGATGCAGCCATTGCGTTCTGTAAACTCCAACATCTTGATCTTTCCGTGCCTGTCAAGTCCCACGTTAGTAGAATGATATTTTTTAGGATAATAAGTTAATTATAAAGCCCACTATTGGAATTGGCTTTTTGACCAATTTTTTTCTATAAAAATTTTCGTGGCAGTTGTTACTTCCCTGTTCTGATTAATTTCCATCTTCTCATCTTAGGTCGAGTTAATTGTTGCAACACATGACCTACTTGCAGAGTACGGTCTCTGCTGTTGGGGTGAGGGTGAAGGGGAGGAAGGAAAGTTTCTTAAATTTTCCATAAAGCATCTCTTAGCTTTGGATATGAAACTTAAACTGAACAGCTCGGTAAATGGGAAAATAATTGAATGTGATGACATAGAATTGCAGAATTGTCACGTAAAGACATCACCAGACAGATCAAAATTAAATGCACAAGATTTTGGGTCAAGTCAGAATGATGAAACCAAATCCATGGTGAAGGATGCTATGGAGGGTATAACACAGGAAGGCTTGTCAACTCATAATTCGATTTTGGAAGATGCTACAGAAGGAGAATTTATTAAGCAAGGAAGTGAGGAGTCTGTTGGCAAGTTCAATGCTGGTGAAAATAATAGCGACCAACTTGTAGAATGTGAGGATGAGCAAAATGAAGATGAAAGGGAGGAGCTAGAATTAAAAATCGACAATGCCTTGGATCAGTGCTTTTTCTGCTTGTACGGGTTAAATCTCAGATCTGACTCATCCTATGACGATGATCTATCTCTACATAAAAACACTAGCCGTGGGGATTATCAGACCAAGGAACAGTGTGCTGATGTTTTCCAGTACATACTCCCTTATGCGAAGGCTTCATCTGTGAGTAATCTCTGCAAGCGTGTCCACTGTTCTGTTATTGTCTCCCTTCCCTTTGATAGAATTTATGTGTAATTGGAGAAAGCAGAATCTTGCACTCTGATATTTTGGTGGGACTATCGAGAGTTCTTTTATGATTTCCTGGACTTGGTACCATATTTAATTTAGATCGACTGATCTTTATCTGGTCCACTCTTTTATGTCTTTCAGAGAACTGGACTGGTCAAGCTGCGAAGAGTTCTAAGAACCATTCGCAAACACTTCTTAAAACCACCAGAGGATGTATTGACTGGAAATGTGATAGACAAGTTCCTAGATGATCCCAATTTATGTGAAGAGAAACTCTCTGACGAAGCTGGTTCAGATGAGTTTCTTGTAACAATGACGAAGATATTACTTAATGATGTAGGAAGCATTAAACAGTATAGAACATCAGTTTTGGGAAGGTGAGACTTTGCATTACTTTTCCCACGTATATGATTAAACAGGGTAATTCTTTACTTTAAAAAAATATTGAATTCATTGAATATTTGCTCTTGAGAATGAGCTATCTGTATTTGTTTGATTGCAGTTCTGAACCATATTTGGAAGTTTACAGCAACTTGTATTATTTCCTTGCTCAATCCGAAGAAATGAGTGCAACTGACAAATGGCCAGGTTTTGTGCTCACCAAGGAAGGGGAGGAATTTGTACAACATAATGCAAACCTCTTTAAATACGATCTATTATATAATCCTCTGCGATTTGAGAGCTGGCAAAGACTTGCACATATTTATGATGAGGTAAATGTTCTGTCATTTCTCCTCATCCATCTGTCTATTTTGGTGGGAGCACACTTCCTTCAGATATACATCTTCAAATCATTTTAGAAAGTTTCATTCTTAGAAATTCTATATTTACAATAAAACAGGAGGTAGATCTGTTGCTCAATGATGGCAGTAAGCACATAAACGTTGGAGGATGGAGGAAAAATGATACTTTACCCCATAGAGTGGAGATAAGCCGAAGGAGGAGCAGGCGTTGTCTACTAATGAGTTTAGCTTTAGCAAAGTCAGCACCTCAGCAGGTTTGACCTCTAAATTATCTATTTGTTCAGTTGGAGACAAGATCCCGTCATTTTATGCCATCTGCCAGTATGTTAGGTTTCTCTCTTAGTATTGTTGATGGTATGCCATTTTAGCTGTGAGGTGCTTATATAACTTTATTTATTTTATATATATCATTTATGATGGGGAATGCTGTTGAAGAAACTCTAGCATGTTTTACTGATGACCATCATAATAATGAAATAAGGATCAAATTTATTCAATTACTTATTATGGTTTCTTACCTATTATTTGATGTAAATGTCCTTTGTTTTAAATACTACAATATATGTAAATAAATACGTAAAGCACTTTCAAGGATGATTTGGTGCTTTAATCTGTAATATGGACTTATATTTCATATAATGGTTGGTCTTTTTTAATTTCTATCTGTACTTGTCATGGTTTCGATTATTTGTATTGTTGTAACTTGTACCACAAGTTAAGAGTCTAAGAACCTGTGGAAGTTAAAAATTAAACAGGTGTCGTGAACTCATTTCTTAAAATTTTGTGGCTCCAGCGTGAGATACATGAACTACTGGCACTTGTGTACTACGACAGCCTTCAAAATGTGGTTCCATTTTATGATCAACGGTCTGTGGTGCCACCGAAGGATGAAGCATGGCTCAGATTTTGTGAGAACTCATTGAAACATTTCAACAAAGCTTTGGCACATCAGTATATCTCTCCTCTTTTTTGATCTCTTAATTTTTTTTCTCAACGATGGCTTACCACAGGTCCACAATATTGTAATTTAACAATGTTTTTTTATTTTATGCTCTCTTTTCATACCAGGGTTGACTGGTCTCATGCATTCTATATGGGCAAACTTAGTGAAAAGCTCGGGCTTTCACATGATAAAGCACTATCATATTATGCTAAAGCTATTGCCTTAAATCCATCAGCTGTCGATTCTATTTACAGGATGCACGCATCACGCTTAAAGTTTCTTGGTAAATGTGGAAAACGAGATCTGCAGGCTTTGAAGGTTTTTAGCATAAAATCTTATAAAATTCCAACCGTTGCTTGTTTCAAGATTAGTAGATTTATTATATTATAGTTTGTAATTAATCTTCAACAAAGTACAAATGCCCAAGAATTCCTGTTTCATGTCATTTTTTTTTAAATTTAGATATTCAGTCGACTATATTTGACTTTGGATGAGTTTCATTTGTATTTCATATATTATATATACGTGCTTTGTGTGGCATTCTGCAGGATCTTTCAACTTATGCCTTTAGTCAGTCAACTAAAGATGCTGTGATGGAAATATCAAGTAAGTTCGGTCCCAAGACTTCAGATTTACTTCCAGGCATGGATGACAGTGAATCATATTTTGAGGATTTAAAGCATGACAAATTCCTCAAAGTGGAAGAAGCGTGGCACATGCTCTATAATGATTGTCTTTCTGGTCTTGAAACTTGTGTTGAAGGAGATCTTAAACATTATCATAAAGCCAGATATACACTTGCTCAAGGTCTTTATAGAAGGGGTGAGAGCGGTGATGTGGACAGAGCAAAGGATGAGCTCTCGTTTTGTTTTAGATCATCTCGCTCATCCTTTACCATAAATATGTGGGAGATTGACAGCACGGTCAAAAAGGGAAGGTATAGTTTCAATGTGTCCAAAATTATGTTTTAGATCATTCATTCAGGGTAAATCAATGCTACAGGAAAAGAAGTCTTCACTATATGGTTGAAAATTGTTTCATAGCAATGGATAAGCTTGAAAATGATCAACGTCTTTCCCTTTTTTGTCAGTGCTGGAATTTATCTTATAATTAAAAGGGAATCATGTTTTAGAATGTAAATGGTATTATTCCAAATGATGTTGGAAGAACATGAAAGTTTTGAAATGATTATTATATTATTTGTAGCATCTTGTGTTTCTTGTAAAAATAAATTATCAGCACCATTTTCTTTGTAACATCCAAGTCATAATCTACGTTTTCAGTTGTTTGCAGTATACGTAATTAAGTACCTTTCAGACTTGATTATCACGTGCATTGAAGTTCATTCTACTGGAAAGTTAGTCTTCCAATGCAGCATAAGTAATTATGTATTACCAGAAAGTTATTGGGAGTTTATCACTTGCATTGAAGTCTAACCTGATATAATATTTTCGGTATGTGTAATTAAAAATGGAGCTACCTTTTTGACATATCTGTATTACAGGCGCAAAACACCTGGTCTTTCTGGGAATAGGAAAGCACTTGAAGTTAATTTACCAGAAAGTTCTCGGAAGTTTATTACTTGTATTAGGAAGTACTTGTTGTTTTATTTGAAACTGCTGGAGGAGACTGGAGATATCTGTACCCTTGAGCGTGCTTATATATCACTTCGAGCAGATAAAAGGGTAACAAGTTTGTGCTTTGGACTATTTTTATTAAATTAAATTCTTCATCACCACATATTAGATTTGAATCGTAGATCCATACAGTACATGGGAAATAATTTTTCAATTTCATAATATCTTTGTATGCATTTATTTGCGAATGTGTAATTGAGTTGAAGGTTCATCTCGGCTATTTCTTTTCTCTTTGTTTCTTTGATGGAAACACCAATATGGTTAATTTTATACTTTTTTTCAAATAGCCATTTTCTTTTATACACGTATGTGTGTGTATGTGTATGTATGTATGTTTATATGTATATTTCATTTAGATGGTGTCATACCATCAATACTGCGAATTCAGTTTTCATTTCATGTTGAAGATCTTGTTGCATTTCACCTTGCTTATGTTGTTGATTATTGAATCATGTGGCATCTAACAAGTAACGCCTATCATCAATCCAGTTCTCATTGTGCATTGAAGATCTTGTTCCAGTTGCTCTAGGGAGGTATGTCAAGGTTTTGATTACATCCATTCGTCAAGTTGGGATTACGAGCTCTGGTGATGCAAGCGGTTATGAACATATACTAGAGAAAATGTTTGCTCTGTTCATGGAGCAGGGAAACGTCTGGCCAGAACTGTGCAGTTTGCCTGAAATAAAAGGCCCCGGAATATCAGAAAGCAATTTGTTTGGGTAATCATATTAAAGAATTATCTGATTTATCAAAATTTTTTCATTTTCCATTGTGGACATAGTGTCGTGCAGCAAGTGCATTCTTCTGACTTTTCTAATACTAATTCTTTTGTGCCTCGACATAAACTTATGGAATCTGATTGCCGCAGGTATCTTCATGATCATATCATTACATTGGAGAGAAATGTCAAGGTTGAGAATCTTGAAGCAATGAATGAGAAGATTCGCAAACGTTTTAAGAATCCAAAGTTGTCCAATATTAACATTGCAAAAGTTTGCAGGCATGCTTCTACTGCATGGTGTAGATCCCTTATAATTAGCTTGGCACTGATCACTCCCGTGCCTTCTGAATCCTCGACTGAAATTCAAACGTCATGTTCCTTACCTTGTGGTCTAGAAAGTAACCAGCTTCTTTGTGTGGATTTGCAAATTAACGAATTATGGAGTTCAACATTTGAGGACTCAACACATCTGAGAAGTCTTGAACCAAAATGGTGCCCGATTTTGTCCAAAATGAATAACGTATTTGTTAAAAGAGCTGCAGAAGTAAACTGGGAAACTGCTAACTCTTTGCTCCGATCTTCGTACAATTTTTTTCGTGAGAGCTCCTGCGTTTTACTTCCATCTGGCTTGAACCTGTATCTAGTTCCACATCGATTAGCAATAGGAGTAAACTTCCAACATCGCATGGATGGTGTTGAAATCCTAGATTTCAGCATGCCAAGGAAGCTTCTCTTGTGGGCGTACACCTTAGTGCATGGTCATTTTGCTAATATTTCAGCTGTTGTGAAGCATTGTGAAGAGCATCTCAAGGTATGAACTGAAATATCTGTTGCTATAATGTGATAGTTATCCAGTGATCATTGATTTACCACGAGCTTTCTGGCTAACCTTTTCAGTCAAAGTTAAAAAAGGGAGCTGGAAATCCCGCCACACAAACTCACTCGAACTTGCCTGCAGTGATATCTTCGCCAACAGGTCACTTTTTTTCTTTGCTTGGTTAATTTCTCTGGTAATCTTTATACGTAGGAGAAGTGGAAGCATAGCACTTTTAGCCTCTCTTTCTTCTTTTTTTGCTTGTTTAATCGCCACCAGCAGTTGACGATTTGAAACTCATATCCCTCTCGTCTCGGCTCCTCTGATTCACCTTGTATGCAGTTCTAGGAATCGGAAAAGACGGTTCAAACTACAGTGGGGAGACTGATGCAGAAACATCTCCAGTCACCCCTGTTACATCTGCTTCATTGCCGGGGAGTAGTCAGAGCACAGGAAGTACAATTCCCCTTCTTTCTAGTGGCGACACTCGCAGGAGTTCATTTCATGGTCCCCAACTTCATCAATGTAATAATGTAAATGCAGAGAGGATAGGTAATGGAGGAGATTCAGACAAAGGATGATAATCCAGGCGCCTGCTCCTTACGAAGCTTACTTTTATATCCTGTAATTTATTGAAAACTTGCAAAGAATAGGTTGTAAATATCCATTTCAATTCCCAAATATACACATTTTTTAGGCATATAGTTCATAACCCACCCAAAGGACCCGGCGAACAGGTCACCTGCTTGAGTTGAAATGATGATCAAAATTTTCATATCTGAATTGTAAATGGCAAGTGTGTGAGCGAGAGTGGTAAACTATGAAGCAATTGCAGTCCCTTAAACCCTAGATTTCTAGCGAGTAAAAGAGACTAGTTTTGGGAAGTTTGAAATTGCAAACTTATGTGAATTCATAAGAGTAAAAAGGATTGTTTATTGAACTATGAGTTGAGTTATTAGTTTTAAAATTATAACAATTAAATAGAAACTATTTAAATTAAAAAGACTAAAAGTATATTTTGCTAAATGTTTATCCAGAAACTAACTTTCTATATTCTACTTGGATCAATTATAAAAGATCTGTATATAATTTGGTCGCGTTTGTTCTAATAGACCCTTGAATTTGTTTGATAGGTCTCTAAGTTGTTAATTTTATGTGACATTCCTTAAAATTAATGAATTTTTTAGACCTGAAATTGAAATAGTCTAATAGGTTTGTAAATTTTTACAAGTCTTGAGTAGATCAATGATTGATACAAAATTGAAAGTTATACAAAATTTAAAATTTAGGAACATATTAAATACTCTTAAAAGTTTAACAACCATACAATATTGAAGTTCAGAATCATACCCTAAACTTGTAATTTAACCTATAATTTTTTGTCCAATAAAATTATAAAAGAATAGATTTCATTTGAGTTCAAAGAAACCCCATCCTGTAGTTGCTTGCCAATGTAATAAATATTTTAATGAAAATAAATAAATAATGGACTTCTAAATTTATCAAACATTTTATTTTTTATTTGTATAGAGTAGGCGCAATAGAAAACTTGGCGATACGTTCGACTTTCCCCCCTTCACGATTAGGATGGGAAGCAAAGCTCTGCCTCTGCTCAAAGGAGCTTTATCACTCCCATCATTGCAGCGCCAAATCTTCATTTATAATGGCTTCCAATTCCATACGCTACCTATTTCTAGCAACAAAATCCGAAAATGTTCGACTACTCCACGGATTCGGGCCTCTCTTCAACCTCCGGATGTGCCTCGTTTAGCTGAAACAGCTCGAATCTCTCTCACTCCAACTGAGGTATGCGAGGTCTTCACCACCTCAATGTGTTCTTCTGTTTCTTTAAATTTTCCAACTAATTGAAATAGGTATTACTTTTCGTGTTTGCTTCCTCTTTGTTTGTCTGATTCAGGTTGAAGAGTTTGCTCCTAAAATTAGACAAGTTGTTGACTGGTAAGTTCCTCTCTCTCTCTCTCTCTCTCTCTCTCTCTCTCTCTCTCTCTCTTATCTCCCGCTAGCTTACAGAAAGTACTGCGCTATGTATTTTGTATAATTTGGTACGAACTGATTGTATACTAATGAGTTCCATATTAACGTTTAAAGGAGGAGGTCTTGACTAATAGATCTTGAAACACATTTGGTATCTTGATGAATATTAATGTATGTTAACGCAAGAATAGAATACTCACACTCTCTACGAGGTAAAAGTAGGTTATTCAAAGTTCTTGACCTGTGACAGGCATAAGATTTAGATTATGAGTCTGTGGCTTCTGTAGGGAATATGAAGTTATCAAGAATGTTGTCTTGTTTTCTTAGTTGAGACTGAGAGTAGGATCTGTGTTGGACGTAGGAGGTGGAATATGTTCACTGGTATTGTCTTTCTTGGTAATTTGGCCTCTTGGTAACTTACTATGAGACAAGTTCCTGTTATGCCTTAGACACTGGGGGAATACTTCTCTAAACCGGAAGGGTGAAGAGATCAAATTTCAAGCGTGATTACAAAAATTTGTTTGAGTGTGATCTTTAAGGAGATGTAAAAGAAAAGAAAAGGCCAGGTAGTGGGCAACTTCTCAAAAGACTGGAAGTTAAATTATTTTGTTGTTTTGTAACATTTTTTACATTAAATTTCTAGTTTAAAGATAATCACATGAGCGATTAGAGCATTCGCAATGTAGTTCTGATAGCTCTTTTTTCACTTTGAAGTTAATAATACTCGAAAGCTTCCTCTGTTCATTGTTGATTTTTTAACAATGTGTAAGCATCAAACTCATGAATCTGGAGGACTCTCCTAACTAGGATTGCGAGTCTTATTAAACTGGAAAATATATTATTCCCTTGTGGTACAAACATACTTTAATATAGCCTTTTAGGACTACTCTTCTAAATTAAAGCTCTGTTTCCTAAAAAAGCTCTAAAGCGGCCTTCTAAACTTGGGGTTCCAACCATTAGTAGCTACATTCCAGTGAATCAGTAATCCCCGGCCTGGATGGAGTCCACATTAGTGAGGTAGGAAATTTTGGAAATTTTCTCCTTCAGAGGCTGTAAGGCAATACACCGATCTGAGGCGCCATAACCACCTTAACATTCAAAACTACCTTCGTCCTCTCTACATTTAGCAATGAAATTCCAGGGAGAGGGACTTTTGCCATTGTAGTTTCCAAAGTGATGCAGCCATTTTTAGCCAAACCATATTTGCTTATAACGATGTTCATCTTGGAGAAATTTTGGTCACGAGAGAAATGCCGCTTGCATTTGAAAGGTAAAGCCACATTTCTGTTTTTGAGATAGCCCAGGCTGAGGTCTCCTTTCCCAAGATTACAAGTTTCAATTTTCACTTCATGAGGTGACTTCTGCTATGGTGCCACCAATAGGTAGTAGGTTGGGATGCTGGGTAGAAGTCGAACTGACTGGATTAAGGTCATGTGCCTTCGCTACCAAGTTAAAATCTTGTGTCCTATTTTCTTTTATAATTGTCTTCAATGTAACTTTGATTTCTGTATAGGTTGGAAGTATCGAGACTGAAATAAAACCATATATTTGTATGTTGGTTGAGTCACTCAAGAGTCGAGAGTCAAGACTATTTACTGAGATAGAAGCATTCGGAGCATGAGTTATACATTTTTTCCAATGAAATTGTTCGTTCTGTTAACTCTATTCTCTCAGGTGTTGTATCCTTTAGTTTCTAATAACTTTAATATGAAAAATATTATGCAATGCTGCAGGTTTGGGCAGCTCCAGACGGTTGATCTTCAAAGTATTGAGCCTTCCATAAGAGCAGGTGCATGCCACCACTTTTAGGAGTTCATTATTGTCAATCATTCTTTTAACGTTGTTTGTTGTTCTTCTAGCAATGCCTTTGCATGTTTCTCACTATTAAGTGTTGCCTCCAAAGCACATAAGCCTTTCTAAAATGTAAATTCTACATGACAAAATGATATTTTCATTGGAAAATAATAATCATTATTCATAAGACATGGAGGTATTGCCTTTTTCTCGCGACGGATGCTAGGTGAGGCAATGAAGCACATTATGAAGGGGATAGCACCAATAGGATCCGAAACTTTGTTCTGTTTACTTGTGCTATCATGGCCAAGATAATTGATTACGGTTTCACAATCCCAATAAAGCTGCTCCCCACAAACATTTATACATATTTCTGGGACTGGGGGAACAGTTGGAGCATGGATTCTATCAAGTGATTAAGATGCTAAAACCTCAAGTTTTGTGTCGGCAAGATAGGAAAACAACTGTTGTGCAGCAAAAATTAGTACTAATTTTCATAATATTTACAGATACTGAAGGTGGCAATCAGCGGAATGATATTTCTGAAACATTTGAGAATAGGTAACCTGGTTCTTTTTCAACATGGGCTATCATAACGTTTGGCAGAAAATTTTAGCCATAATTTCGAAATTTTTATTTTTATTTTTTCTCAGAGAGGCCATGATTGGCGCAGTTCCAGTCTTTGATGAACCGTACATTAGAGTTCCTAAAGTTCTGAATAAGGAGTAGTTGTGAAGGTAGGTAGTTCATTTCATCTGTCTGATTATGTCGCTGAAATTATTTATTGTGCTTTCCGTCTAATTTTTCCACAGGCTACTAGATGATATTTGAATTTCAATCAGAATTAATCATCTAATAATCTTAATCTTACTTTAAATGTTTTTACTCGCACATTTCTGATTTCACTCAAGCTAGGGGAACTGATCACTGC